GGTACCTCTACATACGCCATTACCTGTCGCGGTGTAGTTCTCGATGAGGGTGTACTAGTTTGTAAGGAGTGAAACTGAGTATTCAACTCTTCCTGACATTCGGACGGTACAGTGTGTACACGCTTCAGCGGAGAACCTTTGTCTTCACCAGTATATTTTCGCTTCTGAGGAGTCACGCTGTTTTCTGCGGGTGCCAATGGGACGGGAAGGTGAGCAGTAGAGCGCGGAGTCAACTGTGTGGATGTAGGGGTACTCGGGGAAACGTGAATCTGGGGGGATCGAGGAGCTGACTGTACGATTAAATGGGAGTTGGATTGCGATTGCACAGACCGAAGGGCCACAGGCTGAGATGGAGTTTGGGTAGAATGTTGCAGTTCGTCTTCCTTGATGTCACGTTCAGCTTGTTTCATCTCTATGTCTCGATTCTTCTGAGCAATGAAATGGTTGAATGCTGCAACAGGCTCTTTACGCCGATGAACGGGTTCGGTGGGTGGCTTGGGTTGATTAGGATACGTTAGCGGATGTCCTAATGCGAATGCGAGAGAAGATGAAGTGCTTCGAATGCCAGGCGGAGGTGGGGTAGGGTATGCGGCAGGAGGATTCATGCGTTGGATCAATGACTGAGCAAACGGAAGAGGATGATACGTTGATTGAGGCTGGGATTGTAGCCATGGAGATGCAAACTGAGAAGAAGCGAATCTGTGTCTAGAGATGTTACTATTGAGTCAAGCTGATTGCAACATTTTTGACGTACGAGCCGCCTTCGGACAGTAGCCTCACGGAGTCGTCCCTTGTACTGTGCCAGTAACGTGAATCACCTGTGGGCATCGACGTAGTTGAAAGATAGGAGAGCTCATGAGAGTATTCTGAAAGCGGGGAAGGCGCCGGAGCTGGCTGGTATTGCGACCCAGAGTTATATTCGAGATAGGTCCGTTGCAAGTAGGTGGGGTTAGGTGCAGACACAGATAAATGATTCATGTGTCTTCCCACTAGATGAATTGTTAGACGCGTTTGACGTGTCAAAACGTATAAAAATCTAACCGTGCGTGGAAGGTGTCGCAGAAGCCGTTGGGTATGCGGCAAAGAGCCTGTGAGCTTCGTAGGTCGAGTTGGGAGCATGGCCATGTGTTACAGGATCTGGCGAGAGCTGGCTGCGGGCGTCGTGGCCAGCTTTCTGCTGCCAATGATGGCTGTTCATGATGAACGAGCTGATTAAAAGACGGCCGCGAACAGGAGCAGAGCCTCGTGCTCTAATAGTCACTGGCCAGTTCCGGAAGACTGACAAGTGACTTCGCGCGTGACGTGTTTTCGGTCACCGTCACAGCCCCTCTCTCAAATATTAGAATTACCACAATAACTAATACATAGGCTGTGCATCGCATGTCATTTGGACTCAAGTCTTCCTCCGTTTCCTTGATCTTCCTTCCTCAACATCGGCTTCCCTCTTACTCTTCATCCCTGCAGCTCTCATATACACCTTCTTTTTCTCCCTCTCCTTTTCTGCATCTTTAGCCTCGTCCTTTTGAATCTTCTTGCGATGTGTCTCCTTGCGCACTTGTTGCTTTTCACGACGCCGTGCTATTTGATCCTTGCGCAGCGCTCGAATCTGTTGAAGTAGTGCGATTGCTTTCTTCTCCTCAGGCTCTAGTACGACAGCACGCTTTTGCATGTAGGTCTGCTTGCTCTGAGGCTTCATAAGTTTGGGTTTTGAGGCGTATGGAAGAGCAGCTTGTAGCTTCTTCGGGACTTTAAGCGTGTTGAATCGTCGGGCGGGGCGTTCTATCGGTTTGTAGGTGGAGTTGACAGCCAGTGGAGTTTTCAGCCCTTCATCTCGTCTAATCTGACCTGTTAAGCGCATGCCAGACCAGCGTGACTTGTCGGACAGAAGGAGAGATGTGATAGGGTTGTAGAATTTGCGAGGTTGGATCGAATACCACGCTCTTAGAAAAATGATATCTGGGCTCGTAATTCAGAGTGAATCCAATCCACGATGGAGGCGACTTACCGCTCATCAGCACTTTGTCTTCAAATGTGGCACGGAAGGCACCCTCCGGCTTGTTCAGCGCTTTCTTTACCTGACCTCTGATGCCAGATACCGTTCGGATGCTCGCACCTTCAAACTTCGCCACCTCCAGAGCACTAGTGAACATGTCCCTGATGAATGCTGTATTCTTGAAAATCTTGAACGGCACACCCGTAAGCTTCAGCTTCTTCACGATTTTGGTTGACCGGTCAATGTCCAGGACCACACCGGTCGCGCTTACTCTGAATGCAACAGTCTCCCCTGAGAGCGCGTTAAATGCACAAAAACCTGTGTTTGGGAGCGCAACTGGGCCATAGAACGACGCATAGCAATGCATGTGCTCTGGCGTATATTTCAACATGCGCATCCTGATGGAATGGTCGTCGAGTGAATATATGGGGACACTCTGGAAGCGCCTCCAGCCGAGGGAAAAGATAAGCGGGTCATTCGTCTTCAATGTACGTGCAAACCAGCGGTGGCGCTTAATGCGAACTTGGAGGTATCCCATGCGCTCCTCTGCAGCCAGTAGTCCACCGACGATGATAGGGTAGCATGGGTCGAAGTGTTCGATGAATTCGCAAGCGACTGAAGCGAGTTCTATGCGCACATATGTTCCAGGCCGATAACCCTCGATAAGGGCACGAGTCTCGGCATCAATACCCTCGAATTCAGTGAGAGCAGGGTGGGCTTTCCTGGATTCCAGGTCGACGAGGTCAGCGCCTTCTGGGTTTTCGTGGGCATTCATTTCCTGGTCTGCCTCGCCGCCGTCATGATCTCCTGTGATAAATAGCGTCCTTAGAGAATCCAAAACTCCCTCATCTTCCCACTCCCTCAGCGCACCAAGAGACAGCGCCTCTTTCGTCATGTCCAAATCATCTTGGTTTGTAGCACCGGAGCTGTTCACCCGGAAGAAGTCATCATCTATTTCGTCCGGTTTGACCCCAGGTGTGCCGGCGCCATGGGCAATCTGCTCTGGACCAAGCGAACTGGAATAAATCATCGCAACCCAGTCTTTACGCCGCTTCCGACGGTTGAGCTCCTCGAATGCAGCGCTTGCTTTCGCAGCCAGTCCGGATTTCCACGCTGGCACGTTATCCTCGTTGTCTTCATCAAACTCTTCCTCGTCATCGCTCAAAATCTCCTTTTCATCGTCAGCATACATGACTTCACCTGCTCTGCCACGGCCTTCATCATCGGACAACCCAAGTTCGGAGTCAGAGTCAGCAAAAGCAACATCCCCTTCCTCCTTTTCCTTACTGGAAAAACCATGTGTAGAGCGCACGATGGTGCGTGCTGCGTGACGGCCTGTATTTAGAGGGCCGGTGCGGAACTGCTCGTCCTCTTCGCCACTCCCTTCATCGTCCTGCTCATCTTCCGAGAATACCTCTTCTTCTTCCTCCTCAAACTCACTATCGCCCTGTGAAGCATTCTCGCTCTCCTCGGCATCATCACCGCCGTAGCTGTTTTCTCCATCATGATGTCGGGTATCAACAGTCAGTGGATTTGACGAAGAACCAAAAAGGCGGATGTTGCTCCGGGCCACTGTCTCTTCAAGTGTCTCATCGACGTCTTGTAGGTCAATGACCATTCGCTCACCCTCGCCATGAGGAACTGCTCACAAGAGTCAATAACATGCAATCAAGCAACGTCAATTCTGCTCACCATCGGTGGCTCCTCTCGTGAAGTTACCCGGGACATTAATCCACACAGCGTCCTTGTCGTACATAACACCACCAACATCGCTCATGGGTGCATGCACAAGAAGTTTCTTCTTTTCGCTCAACTTTCTTCGCTTCTCAGAATCCGCATCTGGTAAGGGACATGGGTCGCCGAGCTTTGTCACTGTTTTGATATCCATATCGCCTACACCAGGAATGTGCACCTTGGTGCTTTGCCGCAAATTTGTCCCTCGCAAGTAACCATATAGGGTCACAGTGCGATCGCACCGACCTTTCGAGGTTCTTATTTCCTCGCGCGGCGTCAAGTCTTCTATTCTGTCCGCAAGGAGATATGGGTGAGTATTCCTAAAGACGAGGGGTCGAAACTTCATGACGCTGATAAAACGGGAAAGATTAAGGATCTCGGTATCGGGATAACGACCATTGAGAACACCAGAGATATAGAAAAGTTTTGCGCCTTGATATATCTCATTCCAGAAGCGCCTTTTGAGTAGTTTTTTGGTAGCCCTGAGGGTGGCTTGTTTTTTGATGAGGTCGAGATGAGTAAGGATGCCGATGACTTTTGGAAAACCATGAGCCTGGAGGATGTTGAGGAATTCAAACGTTTCCTGTCATCGATCAAAGATAGTTGTGATATGAAATTTTCAGCATGAACAAGCGCACCATTTCAAAGCCGTAAGAGCCGTCAATCATGAGGAGAACGAGGTCGGCGACCTTACCGATGTCGATCATAGAATTGAGGTCGCTATTACACTCGATAAATGTGAGTCTCCTCTTCTTTCCAGCAACCACAGTGATCGGACCCTTGGCTTCGGACAATGTCTGCTTTGCGTATCTTCTGACGAGGCTTTTGAGCAGAGTGGTCTTGCCTACGCCTGGAGGCCCAACGATTGCGATAATGACTGGTGGGGGTTCATCATCAGGTGTTCTGTTTACAAGGGGGACATGAAGACGAGCTTCATCACGCTCGACGTTTCTCCGGGCCTGGCGATCGGCACGTCGCCCAGATTTTGGTGCAAATGCCTGAGAGAATGTTAACAAGGAAATGCTAGAAAGCGGTTCGCAGATAGCACCTTTTCATTGAACCCCGTTTTTTGTTTTCCCTTGCCTTTCTTTTCGGCTTTTGAGCCAGACTGGGCTGGACGATGAGGTTTATGGGTTTGTGTTTCCATCAGGTACTACTAAAAACTGTGGCAGACCAAGCCGGGAGTTATGCTCGCTCACGTGACTGGCGCGTCGTGTTGTTTTTTTGTGTGGATTCGGTGTGGACCGTGTCTTGTCGCATTGAGTTCCACTGTGACTTTCTTCAACCTCACCCTTCATATAGCTTTTGATTTTTAATCTCATTCTTGTTTCTTATTTCTATACAACCTGCGCTGCGAAATTGATGGCGCGACGTCCGTCAACCACTTTCGAATTTTCTATTCCTGGTGACGAGCTTGAACAGTCTCGCATTCAGCTCGAACAGCAGATACAAAACACTGATTTATCACTGCATCTTTCATCTTCACAAGGGGACGACGAAAGCGTTGAATATCCGAGGCACAATTCTAACCATTCCCTAGGCTTTGCATCATTCGAACAACCCAGTCAGCACTTCGACTACGATGCTCCCAGTGGCTTGCACGCGTGGTCCACGCATGAAGATGAAGGTGTAAATCCTTATGCCGGTGAGACTGTTTCCACAATCGGCCACCATGCCAGCGCTGTCACAATCGGCGCAGGGCTCGGTGGGCACGGTCAACGGAGGGAAATCAGTCTCAGCGGTGCTGAGTACGACCCAGATCGCCCGCTGCAAGATATGATTGCTGGTATGGATAGCCGCATCAGTATCTTAGAGCCTCACTCCAAGTCCAGACAAATGGTACGATCCATCAGGCTTTTTTCTCTTACATCCACTAACATGCCCTTCAGCCCTGCTCTCGTGAAGCCGTCGATGCGTCAGGCGACTACGATCTGTCTCAGGCCTCACACCCTGTGGCACTTGCTGCCAGACTCCGTTCTCCACCTCTCGAACCTGAGTCAGCTGAGTTAGAAGCAGACCGCTCGCTCAACACCTCCCGCCGCAAGCTCTCCGCCAATTTGCAGCGTGTCGGCTTCTCTCCACGACGACCGCGCAATTTACAAAGAAGTACTGCGGCACAACAGTCTCCCTCTCGCTCCTATTCGTATCTACATGATGCACCTGATTTCCAACATATTACATCCTATTCCCGAAAAGCAACAACTCCTAAAGCACGCAAGGCCTCTCATTCTGTATCTTTCGACGTGGACACAACACCCGTGCGGCGGCATGTATCCCAGCCGCAGGTAAATGTTCAGCCGCCCACACCATCTGCAACTAGCTCCAAATTTACTCGTATGGCGAGGGGCCTTGCGAAGGATGTGCATGAGGCTCAGGCCGAGGATGCTGCATTCCAGAACCAATCACAGACTACTACTACCCCTCGTGTGGCGCTTGCAGGTTCTCGTCGTGCCTCTATGAAGCACCACGACGCATTGAAACAACCCCTTCACGAGGTCCTCGATCACAGTGCCGTTGATATTAATGTAGAGGTGGCCCCACCAAATCGGACATTGAGGAAAGCCAGTAGAGGACGAGTAAACCTCCCAGACTTGACTGGCCTTACGAGTGCAGTTGTTTCTCCTGCAAAGGCCAACCTTGAACGCTACGGTATCAAGACTGCTGGTTCATCGAAAGAGGTGGAATGTCAGTAATTCTTTTTCACTTATTTCAAGAATCTCAATTCCTGTACAGCCCGTCTTATAGCGTCACTTAACGCCCTTCATGCAAAGCTCGCTCATCTTGAAACAGAAAACGGCATCGCTCGCCGCCGCGTCCGGGAACTCGAGTGTGAGCTCCAACAATGCAAACGTGATGTCGCTCGAGAACGTTCTAGAATCGTAGAACAAGACCCAGGCGAGCCATCATGGAAAAGGGGGAAAGGGGAGCGACGAGAGAGAGAGGAAGAACAGTCAAAGTATTTCGAGGTGGTGGAGGAAAAGAAAGGTCGGCTATAGCCCGTCGTTCCGACGAATTTCATCTGACCCGCTCGTACAGCCCTCGAATCCTTGATATCTACCCTCCGCTCACACCTCACCCGTGTCACCACAGACTTGACAGCACAACAACAGCTCCTGGAGGACCTTAAGAGACTCAGAGAGGACGACGCCAAGATGCTTGCCCAAAAAACAGATGAAATCGGTGCCCTTCGGCTCGAGGTTGAAAGGCTTGCGGGTGAGATTGAGGTACTCAGGAATGTTGTAGAAGAGGGTCTTAATGAAAGACGAATGGCGAGGGAGCAGCAGTCACAACTCGAGGAAGAGCAAGACGAGGTTTCTGTGCCGGACCAGTTGCATCAGGAGCCAGACCTAGTGACTACTCGTTCTGATTTTCAGTCAACAAGAAGGTTTGTTGACGTGGACGAACTGACGCGGATATCGGAAGACCTGGAGGAACGAAGATCTGAGCGATCTTCCTGTGGAAGCCCGTCCCTGTCGTCACGACATAGCTCGCGGTCGCACCCAGGTGACATGACTCGGCTCACTGACTCCGAGGATAGCAGATGTCACGCTACTCGAAGGGAGCCTTCGAGAGACGATGATGTTGCCCCATTAACTCGGATATCAGAAGACCCTGAGGAACAACGTTCTGAAGGATCCTCTCGTGGAAGTGTTCCCCTGTCATTGCGCCATGGCTCGCGTCCAGGTGGCATGACACACGCTCGTGTCGCTGAATCCGAAGACGGGAGTCGGCCTGCGACTAGGAGGGAGACGTTGAAGGATGATGAAGCTGCCCCCTTCCCCCGTATTCGTTCAGGTCGCCTCGAAAACTTATTCTTCTCTGCACCGAAACACAACTCTGGGACATGCACCCGGTGTAATCACCGGTCAACGCGCACCGGTAGTTATGCGAACACGAAGGCCACACGTCCAAGTCAGGGACGGGTCCCACTCTTGAATGATCAGGGCCCTAATGCGCAAGTCAAGGACGATCCCCTCCAGTCCCGAGCGAATGCCTTTGAACCCGATGGTGTCGATTCGTACGAAGCCATCTTCCAGGGTGGCAAATTACCACCACAGACTGTGCTCGTCAGGGTATTACGAGAACTTGAGGAGGAATTTACACATCATAAAGGGTTTGGATGTACTATGACATTTATTGTCCACGCGCTCATTCATTTTATATAGGATTTATAGTGAGCTGGCAGACGAATACAAGGGTATGGACTCGACGGTGCAGGCGGCGAGGCGGCGTATTGTGGCTGATCATCTTCAAGATATCATTGATTTGATTGAGCGCAAGGTTGTAAATCAAGCTTGATTTGATATCGCTTTGCTAACTGCTCAATAGGTTGATCAAATTCAATCTCTGTATGATCTTTTGAAGTTTGAAGATAAACCATCTTCTCGGCAACGAATATCTTGACAATCACGTCGGTAAATTCTGGGTGGAATTTAGATGTCGTCTGTTTTATTTTACACCACAATTGTAGCTTTCCAATCGAATTGCATTCATATTGGTGACCTGTGATTCATGGGCCTATGGCGGTTGTCTGCCGTACGATGTTAGGTATCTGCGTGCACCAGAAACGTTTGGACGGGGTTGACTGAAGCAGTGCGTAATAGTTCTCTAAAATTGGCCAGCCATCCTTCGACTCGTCTTCCGATGCACTTTGTGATAGTGTTGGGCGGATGTGCGAGAAATCACGGGTAAGAAAGAAAAGTTAGTATAGTTATTGGCTGCTGGAGGTTATTGTAGCAGCTATCTTACATTTCGTTGGAATTGTCCAACGACTTTACAGCCACAGTCAATTGAAAAGGGAAAGGACTTGATCAGTTCAGACACGCGCCACCGCGGCGGAAGTGCAATACCAATGTTGGGATCAAGCCCAACGTCTCGGTGACATCAAGGCGTGAAGATTTAGTAATGAAACCTGCACTATGCTACACGATATCATGGTGAGCTGCCGATAATACACTTACGGCCGTTGACGATGTTGAGTAGCCCACTTGAAGGTTCATATAGCCTCATAACATCAGTCAGTGGAGACCTGCGTAAATCCAAAAGCTGCAGACGACACGAAATGAGGGACCGTTCTCGATGTGGTCACTGATTTGATGGACGGGCATATACAGACCGACAGACCTGAGAATACAATGCTTTTCTACTCGCTTGGGTGAGCTTGGAGGAGGTTGGTCAGATGTCCTGGTCCGATTGACTCTCTAGCTGGCTGTTTTCTCATACTATCAGTACATGTTGCTTAAAGGAAGGTAAAGGGGATTGCACTCCAGTGCCTGCGCAGACGTCAGAACTACGTATCTGCATCGCCCATGAAGTAGTAAGGAGGAATTACCTTTTCTAACGACTTTACCTGGCACGAACAGAGGAGACTGAGGTCATCTTTCAGGCGTGAAGCTGTGCGAAGTGACGATAAGATTCAGCTATATGTTTCCACGCATGGCCTTCTCGGTTCACATGCTGACGAGAACACTTGGTGTCTTCGAACCACGTTATGTCTTTCAGACAGCTTAAACAATGTTTGTTCATCCAAGAGATAGGTGCAATGCGGCATGAAAGCATTTCTATGATTGATACAGTGGATGAATAACGACATCTTACAGTAATAGAACAAGACATGGATGTAAAGGAGTTGAACATGCCACGATCACCGTCCGTATCTGTTATTCATACATCAGCAAAATTGAACCAGAAAGAAGAAGAAACACACTTCTGGAGCTCCCATTCACGATTATCAAGCGGACATACATTGCGCGTCTTGAGCCAACGTGAGATACAGTGGAAATGGAATGCGTGCTTTGGAAGGAGTGGCGGGGATGAGATCTAAAGGAGTCATCGAGTAGCGATAAACTCACGTTGCAAATCCCCCATGCAGCATTACATTCGTCTGTAGATGCTGATACCTGATTTGCCTGACAGTCGATACCTAAATGACAGCGTCCTTTGAGTGACGTTGGGATGAGATGCAAACAAGTAGACGCACAAAGATCCATGATATGATTTCTGCATATAGCGCAGTTGTCGACGACGATATCTGTGAGAGAAATTGAATGCTTCGATCAATTTTAGGGATAGGCAGCGTACCCCATGCCCAAAGAGATACTGCATTCCACTGAGCGACTTATCAACGGAGGGAGCGAGAGTATGAGACAGACAAGACCATACCTTCTTTACTTCGAATCGTTGCTTCCCGTCATCCTTTGCTTCCTTTTTGGAGGGTGCAGGAGTATCAACGTCCATGTCTGCCATCTTGATCTCAATTAACCTTGCGGATGTTCGAAAGCGAGCGTTCCTGTACCGGTGTGCTGTGCTTGGGCATGGTGTGATGAAGTGCATCTCCAAACATAGTACCACATTCACACGCCGTAGACCGATGATATCATCAGCATCTAATCAGCTCCAGCCTGCTAAGTGCATCTTGGCTACTGCGACCAAAGCTGCGACTCATCCAAGTCTACCTATAACCACACCAACCATGTTTTCAGTCACAGTAAATTCAACTAGTAGCATATTTGTTCTCTTTCCCTGACTTCAGCTTTTAAGGTCTCGAACATTTCCTCAAGCACCACTCAGGAGAAGCTTCATGAATTTTTCAGGTAATATAATACTTCACTCCATTGTTGCCAGTTCCTAATTTCACTGTGCTATCAGTTTCTGCGGGAAGTGAGTTTCGTATGCCTTCTTCGTCCTATGTTCGTGATTAACATTGATCTAGCATCAAGTCAATTGATCTCAAATCTGAGGGGCAATCCGCAGTTGTCACTTTTGAGAAACCTTCGTCTGTCGGTACAGCGCTTATGGTAAGACAACACACTAGAAATTCAAATCCGATTAACCAACACCTCATCCCTAGCTCAATGGCGGTACTCTAGACGGTGAACAACTCAACATCACCTCCGACGTCGAACACCACAATCATCAGGAGCAACCGCATCACTCAAGCTCACCTTTCGAACAGTCAGACAAGCCTAGAGCTGGAAGTACGTATTCCCCCTTTGTTATGGACTAGCATCTTGACATCTAAGTACAGTTGCCGCCGAATATTTGGCAAAGGGCTACTCACTTTCCGACCACATCTTGCAGCGAGCCATCGAAATTGACAGTGAGTCAATCCGTGTACCAAGTCGAATGTCAACTCACGCGTCTTCCTTGTTAGACAAGCAGGGGATTTCCAAACGGTTTTTAGATTATATGCGCGGCCTCGATACAACAGTTGGACAGAAAGCTCTCGGTTCCGACCAAACAGTATCCGGCAGAGTGCAATCAACGCTGCAGAGTGCCCGTACAAGGGCTAAGACCATCGACGAACAGAAAGGTTATTCCAAGGTTGCTCATGAGGTTAGTAGAATGATCTCTATCCGAATGAGTTTAACCCGCACGATTCCAGTACTACTCAAAGGCGATTTCATCTCCATTTGGAAAGTCTGTCCTCGAATTTTACACTAATACTTCAAAGCAAGTTCGTGACATTCATGAAGAGGCTCGTCGTATGGCCGACCAACATCCAGGCACGAGTTCATCTGCGGCCAATACCAGTGGCACACATGCCAGCAGTACCAATACGGCCGGACCTGACGCAGAACCTGGTCTCGCCACCCAAGCCTCTCCTACCATTGTTTGAAGGCATGATGGGCAAGGATCAAGTTGGTGTCGATGTCCTGTCTGACTGTAGGACAACACATTACATCACACTACGTTTTCAATGACTGAAACCTCTGTAATAATTTCTTTGTACCATATGATCTGGCTGCCTTTTCCTACAGGTAGAAAGTCTGATATATACTACCACGAGCATCGGCAATGCCAACACTTGTAGTGGCGAGACATCCGCTGTGCCTGGCTTCTTCAACTGTCATGTCGTTCGAAGGAAATGCATCTTTTTGGTCGTCAGTGTGCTAATTCGGCAGCGGGTTGCAGTAGCCAGGTAGTTGTGGTATGCGCTTATGATGGCTGGATTCATGTCTAATGAACAATAAACGGCATCACCGCAGTTTTGGATCATGTGTCACGACTGCACAAGTCATAGTGACACATCTTAACGCAAATGAAAGAGGCCAAGGTATATTACAGGACCGGTGGTTCGCTGTAGCAATAGGTCGGAAGTAAACGGCGGTAAGAGAACTTCAATCTCGGCAGCCTACAACACAATCATCGGCGATTAGCACTAGCCTTGTTTTCTCGCAGAGCCGGTGAGTAATAAATTATAGACTGAATTGACATACGAGAGGTTGCCACAACTAGGCAGAAAGCAATTAGAATGCCCTCAAGTCACCATGGACATGAAATTTCCGTGTGTTCAGGATGGCCAGTGCCACGGCTCAGTTCGGTCCCGATATAATGATATCGCCCGCCGGGAAGCCACGTACCACAGAGAAGATCGACGAATGGAACGTTTATACCAGAAAAGGTCTGTACAAGTGTAAGAATTTCATATACTGTAACCAACTTATCTCTTGACTTATCTTCCAGTCAACTCCTGCAGTTGTGAGTCACTGTTTTAATTATAAAAAGTTTCGTTTGATCCGCGGCAAGAACCGCATTTACAGCTGCTCGTGCTTCTTGTTGAGATGACTTCGATGGTGCAGATTTCGTATTGCGACCGCATGGTTTGAATGCAGTAATGAATAGTAAATGAATCCCGAAGTCAAAGCCGAAGTGTCATCGTGTATTGCAAGCTAAAGGCAAACTCAGCCGGTGACCCAACTTCTTCTTTCTCAGATTTACGTATCGCGGAACTTCTAGTGACACCGAAACTCAAGCACAAGTTCAAGTTGTACAACTCGGTCACCGGTGTACAAAGGATCATCAATATCATCAATCGTACGCTCCAGGATCCGCCACAATTCTGTCATCCTTGGTTCTACCCGACCACGATATCTTCGCCGTAGCTCATTTTCATTCTGTCGCGAAGACTTGTTGACATGTCGAATCCCCACATGGCCACGAATACCAGCGAATACTCCGGCGAAGCGCAAGCATATCAAGATATGCTTGCTTGAAGCCTCATCGATCCTTATGCGAAGGCCGATACATGAATAGTTCAGGATTCATCCGCCTCAGCCAGGTGCCAGACCGAGCCCGAGCTGCGTATCTATCCCAAACAGTTCAAGGTGTGTTCCTCACCCGCATAGACCACAAACTATGTCTCAGGTCCCCGACCCCGCGGTGCCGTATTGCGAAAAACGTATGGTTCGTATGATTGCTCACCCAACCATAATTCACTTCGCTGGTTTACAGACAATCAATATATGATGGAAGATCATACTCAACTTGGAATACATCAATCACAAGCGGCTCAGAGAAAAATCTCGAACACACTCATCGCCGATTTACTGTGTAGCCGTTAAATCCGCTTTTCTTGATCAGAGTTTCAGGACTATGCCATGTGCTTAGTAGACTTCCCTTATCCAGAGTCCAGGGTACTCACTGGTCCCAGGTCGACCATCTTTCTCTGTCCGACCGTCAGTCTGGTTTCGGCCGAGTTCACTGGCACTGATTACCATGCAGTCGCTTTTAGTAGCTAGCCTGAATAGCCTATGGTCCTACCGTGATCCAACGCCTGAGGTATCACGTATCCATACAGGTGTGCCTGGAACTTCGGCCGATCAGTGCAATGCCGAAGCTTCCCGATACATGAACACGAGTTGTTAAAGGTCCGCCGCTTGCCAGAGTTATTGCAGTTCTGCGGCTCCTCGAAGGCATGGCTTCTCAAGACCATTCGTCAACATCGGACTACTCTGCATCGAATTACAACCAGACAGCGGCATTTGTATATTCTACTGAGTACACTGCACCCATTTTGTCCCTTTTGAAACCTTCCATTGGCGAAAGAATCGTTGACTTTGGATGTGGGACCGGGGAACTGACCTTGCGGATCCAAGAAGCTGTTGGTGCGAGTGGGTTCACTGTTGGTATTGACTACAACAATGACATGGTTTGTATGAACTGAGTTGCTACCTAACCAATATTGATGTCTTTGTCAGGTTTCCAAAGCTTTAGTGAACGGGGTTAGGCACGCATACATATCTGACCTTCAAAACATTCAAATACCTCCTGTGTTGGAGAACTCTTTCGATGCTGTCTTCAGCAATGCCGTACTACATTGGTGTAAACAGAATCCGCGCGGAGTTCTGGATGGGGCAAAGCGGCTGCTCAAGGTCGGTGGGCGTTTTGTATGTGAGATGGGTGGGTTCATGAATTGTATCGGTAAATCTACGCTATTGAGTGGATACATCTTTAATGACGACAAATGCAGGCGTTCGGATCGGCCTTCACCGGGCTGTCAAAAGGCGAGGTTACGAGCCCGATAAAATGGATCCCTGGTACTTTCCGACAATCGAAGAATATCAAAGGGTCTGTCATGTGTTGAATGGCTGTCAGCTGCTCATATTTTTTTGGCTGCGTAGTTATTGCAAAGCGCGGGTTTCCGCGTTAATACCATTGATTTGGTTCCAAGGATGACGCCACTGCTGGACGGTGGGCTCCGTGGATGGCTTCAACTTTTCGCGCGCCGAACGTTCCTGAAGGAATTTAGTGACCAGGAGGCCGCCGCTATCATAGACGAGGTTGTGGATATGTGTGAGGTTGACATGAAGGACAAAGAGGGGAATTGGGCTCTCATGTACGTTCGATTGAGATTCTTGGCAACCCTTGATAGCCCTTGATAGCCCTTGATGGAACTGTTACTAAAGAATGATGCGCAAAGTTGACCGTAAAGATGTTTTATTTAATTATGACGGATATGATCCCTCACTTCCATAACTCTGCTAAGGAGTATTCCCAGACTATCCCCTATAGGCAAAAAAAGAAATGATTGCTAAATAAGGGTACACTCGGACCAACAAGAAAGAGAACGGTCACGTGGTGAAAACTCACGCCGCGTGCCAGAACTCGGCTAGAGTCTTGCAAGTTTCAACGCTGCAACGTTTAACACTCTTGCTTTCAGTGCCATGGCGGAAGCTCGTCCGGCATGGATGACGGACGATTTAGATGAAGAATGGATAGACGAAGACGAAGCATCGTCCATGGGTACTCAGTCCATCTCTCTCACAACTCCGTTACCTGGCTACCTGCGAACCCCAAGTCAAGCTCAGGATGACACTGAGCCACTTCCAGTAGCACCTGAACCAGTTGGTACGTTTTTAATCCGCGAGGATATACCCATTCCAGCTCTCTTGCAAAAGACGCCAGGACGACAACCTAAGAGGGGCATCATTAAAGACTTCTTCAGTCCTTTAGCACTCGAGAAAATGTTCGAGCCACCTTCACCACCTCCTTCGAAGCCAATTGTACTTGCGTTCCAGTGTGCTCCAACAATTCCTTCTCGCCTATCTCAGGCCTACACGCCAAACGACTCACAGACAGACCTCGAACCAGGCAAGCCTACGGTACCCTCCCTCAATTCACTTGCGCCGCCCGGATCTAGTGTAGAATGCAAATTCACTTTTGCTGTTCCTCGCACAAATGGTAGTTTGCCTCAGGGAGAAAGCACGCCAAGTGTTTACAGCATCGCGCGACCTCCCATGACAGACCCGCGCCTACGCCTTTTCCAGCTTCAGTACGACACATTCACGCGTGATCACTTGTCGGCAATGGTCGATTCAATAGCAATTAATACGCCTTCTGGTGGAAGCGCAGAAGGCAATGGTTCTTCCAGGAGCATCCTACGCCCAGGATTGATCAACGTGCAAGAGGCTACCGTCTCAGACGATACACCTATTCGCAGCATCAAACGGGTTAAACTCAGCCCCCCAGGCGACTATTATGGCGAAGGCGATGGTGTGGGTGCTACCATCGCAAGGCCAATGGTCTCAAGGGTAGACTATGTTGGCGAGTCTCGTTCCCTCATGCAACAGATCAAGGCCGCACGCGATTTCTCCACGATTTCTACTACGGCAGGTCCGCAGTTCCCTGAAAGCCAAGCAGACGATAGAGCTGAGGCTCTCAACGCGCAGTCTAAGCCTTCATCAGGTATGTAAATCATTGGCGTATGTACATGTCAATCGCCAACGCTTGCATAGGTACTGGTACCTCTGTCCTTCGCGTCCCCGATGATCGTAGCGCGGTTACTACAAGTTCATCGACAGCCGTAACTGCTCCCAGTAATAATTCGTCTCTGGCATATCGCCATCAAGCAGCGACCTTGATGCAGCAGATCAAAAATGATATTCGAGGGTCAAAACGTCTTTTCTCAAGTGCTACTGACATATCCCATTTCACCCATGCGGACGACATTTCACGTATTGAACGCTCGTGCGACAGCGTATGCTCTGTATCTCAAGTTAACCTCAGCAAGAAGAAAGTCAACAAGTTCGGGTCACCCCGCAGGCCGTCATCTTCCTTCAAGAGCTACCGCAGTCCACGGAAAGCGTCGCGCAATACCATCGCTGAGGATGCTGACCGAACGTTGGAGCACGAAATGTCCAATATGTCCATTGAAGCACCCTGGCAGCATCTAGTTACATCCGTGTCTATCACACCTAATACAGGTCTCAATAACGTCCCGCACATTCGGGTAACTCCTTCGACAAGTCAGCATTCTATGGCACATGCTCCTGAACAGATCCCCTCTTCGTATCCCTCATCTTCGACCCGCTCTGGCCCCAATGAGGATATTAACAGGATGGTGTCCTCTAGCACAGCTTCTGGAACCATAACCACGACGAGCAGTGCACCCTCGTTCGTCAAACACGCTGGTCCAGTTCAGATCACCCGCATCGCGCCATCGGATGTACCAGCTCTCCCACAGAGAGTTGGCCGTATGGTCTATGACAAGGATCTCATGAAGTGGGTGAGGGTCGCTACTCGTTCGGCCTCAGATGCCGAGGACCAGCGCAATCAGACAACTTGCACCGGCACAGATGGAGATAGTGAGGATCCATTCAAAGACATAGAGAGCCTGAAGGAAGATGACTCCAGGGAAACGCATGGAAGCGCGCACATAGATGTTGAAGGTGATATCCCTGAAGCTGGAGGAGAGCATGATGAGATGGAGAGCAGTCGCGTTGAAGAGGCCGAAGAGGATGTGGAGCTAAATGATCAGGAAGAAGTTGACCTGACATCCTTTTCCTTCGACGGGCCATCGATCGCGGCTGTCCGCATTATGCCATCGGATGATTCGGAAGGAGAGGGGGAAGTGCAAACAAGTCATTCCGAATCAGACAATCGTCATGGAACTGCGCTTGGGGGTGAAGGCGAGGACGCTGCTGCTGTCTTTGAATCGGAGGATGAATGCTCGCCTGCTCCTGTGTCCGTCCGGCCTGCTTCGAACTCTACTGCGGTAGCTACGCCAGTTGCGCCACAATGTCGGTCATTATCGCTTACCACTCCAATGCCCCGCTCGGCCCTGAAGAGCACGAGCGTTACTCCCGTGTCAGCTATGAAGGACTCGAGCCGTGACCGGCACGGCACTCCAGCGCAACGACTAGGCCACTGTCGTTCCGTAAGTTTTTCTGATGGAAAGAGGGACGGGCCTATACGGGGCCTGAATCCAAAAGGCCACGAGAGTGATGACGACGTGGGTAGCCTGGCTACGAGTACTTCAGAGCATGACCCTGCACAGGGGCTATTCATACCCTCGGCAAGGTCCAGACGCATAGCGGAGATGATGGAGAACTTAGAAAGCCCTGGTGAGTTAGCATCATGCCGCAAGTGTGTTGCTCAGTGTTGATGTATGGCAGGGTTTGATAACGTCTCGCCCACGAAGCCATCAAGTTCGGGCCGTCCACCGACAGAAGAACTTCAACCTTTCGCTCCTAGGCGGCCGAGTAGTCAAATGGCTATCGCCGATTGTAATGGATCGACCCATCGTGTGTTCTCAACGTCACAGAAGAGTCGTTTAAGTGGGAGGGACCAGAAGACAAACGCTACTTTCCTGACTGAGTGCTCCTTTGGCTTGGCGCATGACCGACTCGTGCAGGTGATCACCGATGTTCAGCCATTTGAGCCACACTGGGACGAGCTGCACAGTATTGATCTTTCTCGCAAGTCGTTGGACGGTGTGACTCGACTGAAGGAGTTTCTACCGAAGTTAGATTCTCTAGTATTGTGAGTTGCTACCTACGGAAGCAAATACCGACGGCTGCTGACGTCTTCCGAATTAGAAATCATAATCAGCTGTCATGGCTGAGCGGCATCCCCAATTCTGTGCGGACGCTTTCTGTCGCTCACAACTTGTAGGCTTTTTGCTAAATTCAAGTTACTTCCACTGACATCGCGCCCTTTGAAGATTGACAGGTGTCACTTCATTTAGTTACCTGCAGAACATTGAAAGCCTTGACATAAGTCATAATGACATCGACTCCTTAACACGTGGGTACTGAGCACCGTGTCGACAAAAGTGAGCTGACAGGCAAATATGTTTTTCCAGAACTGCAGTGTCTTCGGCACTTGAGGGAGCTACGAGCTGATGGCAATCGCATTACCAGCATCGACGGCCTTCAGAAATTGGATGGGCTGACCAAGCTCAGTCTACAAGGCAACCAAATTCAAGAAGCCGATTTTGCCAAATATCGATGGTACGATCAAATCTTTCCAAGCCTCCTATCTTTTACTCCCTAGTGACCAACAAACATATAGGCCGCGTTTGGAGATGCTAAACCTGAGCGGGAACTGTATTTGCAGTATCCTGAACTTGGCATCAAGCCTACCTGCACTAATTGCACTCAATGTCGGTGTGTAATCTAACCACATATTGCGTGGGGCCCTGGATAACAAGCGCAGGTTCCTGAAGACAATAATATAGTGGACAATATTGAGCCTGGTGGCATAATGCCAAGATTACGGATCCTTCGAGCTAGCAGCAACCGATTGAGGCGCCTGAGCATTGCCCCATTCCCAAACCTCCGCACGCTTTACCTGGACAACAATTTTCTCGACACTCTCGTAAAGGCGGAACGCCTTAGTAAGCTGGAGAATCTTAGCATGCGAAATCAAACTTCTTGTGGATTGTGAGTGCACAGCGCCTCGGTGTTTGGGTTAACGTCATTCACGGAACACTTCATTATACCGTTCCTTGTTCCCTTGATGATGGGATGGCTATGTGATCTACAGCTACCTTTCGACCCGGCAGTTCCGCGATGTAAAGCGACTATACCTTTCTGGTCCGTATAGCAAAACTGTGGTCACTTGAGGCAGGGCTCATCCGTTTTCTAGGGAACAAACTCAAGAGTGACTTCATCGACGAGCCCTGTTACAATTTGCTGTACCTTGAGGTAGCCGCTTGCCGGCTCACCTCTCTCCCACAGGATCTCGCGCGTCTAACGCCAAACCTAAGGGTCCTGAATCTCAATTACAACTTTTTGAACGATGCGCTCTCCCTGGAGGGGCTTACCAGACTTAAGAAGCTGACTATGATTGGTTCGCGCTTGAAGGGGACTAAACAGCTGATCCGCATATTACAGCGTATGCCTGATGTGGAAATGGTTGATTTCAGGTGAGAAATTTGACCCTAGATTGACCCTTTAGGTGTGTGTTAAATGTTGATGGATTACGCAGGATGAATCCGTGTACACTTGGGTGGTATCTACCGCTTCTGGTGAAAGACTTACCAGGGGCACTACAACCATCTGAGAGAACTGAGGATGGTCAGCTCAGGGGTGAGAAGGGAAGCACAGAATATGGATGGCAAGAACTAGACTCGAAGTTCCGCCGGGACCTCCCGGATGATGCATATGTCGGCCGCCTCGCATATCGAGGGCTGATCATGCGAGCATGTCCCAGGATAGGGATGTTGGATGGTGTTGAGGTTTCGGAGAAGGAACGGACGAAGGCTGATCAACTGCTGCAGGGGATGATGGCCAAGAGTAAAATTAAGGGGGGTAAGGGGAAGTCAGGGACAATCGGCGCTGGTGGCACAAAGTGATTCCTGGTGACCGACTCCAGTGCATTGATCGAATTGGGATGTTTGCATTGTGATGTATTTGCGGTGTTTGTAGATCACAATATATCATACTGTAGGTATCCTGGATCAAGTAAGTGGAACTTTGTTACGTGAATGGAACGGGGCAAGATTGATGGGTTTGAAGCGATGATGATCTGAGAGAGGTCGATCCCGAAGCTTAGTGGGGGTAAGGACGTACGAGGGTGACGATGATTTTAAGTTTGGTGTATGGTGTTGGGGCAAGGAAGTAGTTGCGATCGATGCGGAAGGCCGCTATCGGAAATGTGGAACGAGCTGTATACTAATTGTGGAAGGCTACCGACCGTTGGCGGTGCAGAGAAACGTAAGTGAACCCTATTGGAACGGCTTAAGGGGAGAAATGAAGTCCGCGCATGAAAGAGTGCCTGAAGGAGGTGTAGCGCTGGAAGGATCTGAAACTTGGGCCCCTCGAGGCGTATAAGATTGAATAATATAACTATATGTGGGGTACGTTAAGTATCTATGATACATATTTGATTCTATTTGATTGGACTTTGGTTACGACTTGGCCGTGAGTATTTTTTTTATTACGGTACCGTGTCGAGAACTTACAACTTGACAGGACACAACTCGTGAGATCAAAGACTTTCAATCTGAAAAAAATCGTTTGAAACTGTGAAAACGGGACCGAGGAGGTGTTCGCATGGTCTTTCGCTAACGAGGGGCGCTGTGGGCAAAAAAACCTATTTTATGAAAAAGAAGTATTCTAATTGGGTTGATTAATTTGCACAGCCCATCTTTTTTTACCCCAACAACAACTCATCTTTAGTACTCAATTTACAATTTCTACCACATTAAAATCAAATAAACTCGGGGGTGTATACCACCCCGATTACACTTATATAGACGCTCGGGCAAAGGGCCGCTGATGTGATTTGCCGAAGTAGATGCTATTCGCTACCGACAAGCGTTCGCCGCGCGCAGGAAGTGTTATGTGACGATGACGCGCTGATGTCGGGATTGTGTATTATCGGCTGTGGAGGAAAGGGTTCAATTTCCCATGAGGGGTGCCTCGAAGGTTGTCTATCGGGTTTTTTTCATAGCTTATTCCAGCTTTAATAATTTCATTTTTCTTTCTTTTCCCGACTCGGATTTCCTTTCCCTTTCTTTATTTAAAATCCCGTCCATCAATCCACCATTCCTCTCATTACACCCTCGTCCTCTTCAAATGATTGAGCAAAAGTCAAGTTCTCCCCTCGCTATCAGCTCTTACAACGTTGCCCAGTTACAGTTATCCTTACAGTGAGTAATCCAGTTTTTTTAAATTTCTATTCCAATCAAGATTTCATAATCCGACTGTCATATGTCAAGATCATGTCTTGTCAAATATTGTTTTACAATCTTTCTTTCCTCTCTCATCATCATCATCACATCAAAGAGCTGCTCAGTTGACCCCCATCTTCAGACTTGGTCCAAAAGTCGACCCTGTTCCCTTCTCGGACGATTTATCAAACTGTGCCTCTCCGGCTATCCTGTGGGTTATTCGTGCCTTGTCTTGCCGCCTCCCGATCCCCATATCTGACTTGTCTCGTTTATTATATTTACTTTAGTCCCACAGACTCCGACTTTGATTATCCTACTCGTCGAATGTCAAGCTCTACCGTCTCGGCAGAGACAGAGAGCAGTGCAGCCTCTCGCCCTGAAAAGCGTCCCTTGTCTCCCTCTAGTTCTCCACAACCCCTCAGAACTCGCCCTTCCTTCTCCTCAGACCACCAGTCTTCCTGGCATTTTGACTCGACTCATCATAGTCCTCAACAAGACGACAAGGCATTAGAGACTGGTCTCGACAATTCAAAGGTACAATTACCTTCCATATTTACTACCTTTGAGGATCCCTTTCGTCGTGCTTCCTTACCTGCTCTTTCACAAGACTCAAATCCTCGCTACCGATCCGCTCCATACCCTCCCACTCATCTCCGTCGCGCATCGCACGCGTCCTCTAACCAGTCTAGTCTCGGTTCATACCATTTCCCACCTCCTTCCGATACCTCTGAGTTCCAAGATAAATCTTCTAGCCGTCCTCGCTTGACTGCTGACACACATCTCAATTACTCCTACGGAGACTCCCCCTCATACCTAAATACAGCCCTTTCCAGTACAACTACCCCCAGTTCCCATTTTCCCTCTTCCACTTTCACATCGCCCCTCACCCCTGACATCAAACCTCAGGGCGTCCCTGCTTCAGGATACATAGAATCCGACAGTTGGAACGACTCCCCCTCTGGTATTGTTCGCCCGAGCTCGACAGGCCAGTTACCAAACACCCTCAATAAGTACGACGACAGCGTCAGACAGTCCTCCTTTAGCACTTCCCAGATGTTTTCCGCTACTCCACGTCTTCCTCACCAACAGGATCGTAGACTCTACCCCTCCTCAGTTCAACCTAAGGACGACTGGAATTTTTCTAATCAGGATTATGCCTTTTCCTCAAACAGTCCGTCATTAAATACGACGAACAGTCCAGTACCCTCCGCAGCACCAGCGCCAGCAACAACCTCCTCCCCTACATCTCACTCCCCTCCGTCTGCCCCATCTACATTAGCTGAACGCCCCATGCGGAAGAGGGGCAAGTTGCCCAAGGAAACGACAGATTATCTCAAGGCCTGGTTACATCGTCACTCAGATCATCCATACCCAAGCGAGGAGGAGAAAAAGCAGCTTTGCCATGCCACTGGATTGAGCATGAGCCAAGTGTCCAATTGGATGATTAATGTCCGTATTTTCTACCTATCCTCCTCGTCATCCAATTAATTAACATAACTCGCAGGCTCGCCGCAGGATTTTAGCTCCCGCCCACCGAGCAGCACAGGGACCTACCACCTCTGCCCCATATCCCTCTTCCACTCGCACTGTGCCCGCTTCCTCACTCTTAGATCCGGTTGCGCGTCGTGCTTCACTACCTGCAGAAAGTCTGCAGTTGTATCACCCCATGTCTCTCCAGTCGCTGCAAGGAGGCCACGGCCACCAGAACTCAGCGTCTGCAGAATTCGGCGGAAGTGGCCGACAACTTCTCGCACGCCCAGCTCACTACACTGGTGGTGGTGGCGGCGGCGGAGGCAGTCTAGACTACTCCCAGAATAGACTTGGGCTGTCCACTTACAATCTTGGACACAACCATCACTCTGGGAGTGGAGGGCAGTCCGGCTATCTTCCATCAGGCGTTCCGATGTCCGCACCCCCCTCCCTTCCACCCAACCCTTTTGGGTCTCACAATATGCACAATCAATCCTCGTTGTATTCTGCACAGCATCACCATTCGTCGTTGTCTCCTGGCTTCATTTCAAGCCCATCCCAGAGCTCGCCGAGGTTGCCCGCCCACTCGGCGGATTCGCAGTCGCATTCCTACTATAGCGAAGGACCATTGCATCCATCTGTAAATGCTGGGCCTGCTTATTCAGCTCCACAGTGACCACGACGCTGTAACAACATTGAAATCCTATGTGGATGCCTTTGTTTTATCGAAAAACAACGTTCGTGTAACAATATTATTATTACTGACTACCTAAAGCAACCTAATCATTGTACTACTCGTATCACCTTCTTGAGATCACACACCCCAGCCTTTGCCAAGTGTTCTTCGTTGGCCACTAAAATTGCACATCCCAATAAAACAATTAAATTTTTGTTCACCGGGTTCGGGCCCAGTCTGTTGCGACACATTTCTCCCACTGCGGTGTTGCACATGATCCTGCGGAACCTCTACTTCTCGTGTCTGCCGCTTGCAGCCGATCTGATTCTTGATTCCTGTGTTCTGGGGTTCTATCTCTCAGCGCTGCTTCTTATGCTGAGCCCGGATCTCCCTTTTTCATAATGAAATCTGGGTACTGCGAAGTCCTATAGTAATCAGACCGTTACCTGCATTATTTGATATTAACACCTCGGGATGTGATATTTCCCCATTCCGGGTAGGTTCCGGACCGTCTGATGGCAGTGTGCGATTGAGTTGGAACGTTCGGGATCACCATCATTCGGCGCTAAGGGCTAGCGATTTGCTAACTCAGGACACCAACTTCATTTTACCTGCTCAGGAAAATACGTTCCGAAAGTTTGCAGAAGATGCCGTGGATCAATCCGCAAGCTCGACCGCTGGAGTCGACTCATCGCCGATCATCATGACCTAACCGAAGCTAACCGCAAAAGGACAGTCCTCATATGTACGACACGGTCGCGGTACACTGGTGAGAAATGGGCGACAGTGCGGAGGGCCCAGATCACCATTTATGCACCTCCTTCGATCCGTTGACTCCTTCGTTACGGCGCCAAGCGCTTTAACTTTATCACTTTTAGGACGGGAGCGTGTACATGCTCACGTGAGGCCAAAAGCTCCTGAAAACGGCCACCGCCCCGTTGGGATGGCTACGCATTGCCCCCATTATCCCATTCAAGGCGCTTCAGGAACTCCACTCCGCGCTCGATTCAGTACAACAATGATGTAAGTGCAGGAACGGTGGTGGCGTCACTTTAGCCTTCATATCTGACTTTAGTTCATTTGTGCGGAGAAAATGCACCGCACCGTACGTACTATTGGTATATTGATTGCACAGCTATCGAGAATGGAAAGGGGAAGATCACGCCAAAAAAAACAATGAGGAATAATAGTATTTTAAAAACACACCCAAAGATTGCCCAAAAAAACATATAGATAAGTGGCAAGGCACCTCTCCCATCCTTCGCTTAGAAGGTCGAGAACGACAATCAGGCGAAGCACATACGACATGACTTGCCGTTGGTCTCTCATGCGTGAACTGGCCGCCGAAAATCGGTGTCAAGAATCCTCGAGAGGGTACGAACCTGGCAAAATAGGTGGTGGTGGGTACTTCCAGCAACCCTGGCGTGAATTTACGATGCCGTACTTGATACGCGCACAATGACAAGATCAATGTCATCCTTCGATGCGGGATAACTGACATGTAGCTTCCAGAACATGGCCTCTGATTTTACCACAGAGCGAAGGACGACACTGCACGAGAGAAATAGCTACAGCGTGTGTCATACCGCCGCAGCAATCAAAACCAAAGAAGCGAAGGGAAAAATTGACAAAATCAACAGAATAGGGTGGCGGGGAATATCTTCGATCATTTTTACCCGAGGGAATTAAAAGAAACAGACGGAAACTGCCAGAGCGCGGCATGAATGACGGGAAGTGTCCAGCATGGGCACCCAAATGACAATAATCCGATGCCACAAAACATAAAATAAAATGCAAGAGCGGACACTTACTTGGACGCCTCTCAACGGCCATTGGCGGGTCTATAGAAATCCGAGCTCACGAGAACAGGAATGTCTTGATCCTAGGGAGCCAAAAATATCAACCCAACTCGCAACTCTACAAACAGAATGATACGGCGGAATAATTCGATCAATGATCCATCTATCTTATGACCGTACCTGACGGGACAAGTTCGCGTGCGTGATAACACATAGGAGAACTAGTATGTGACCGCGTGTTCATGGGAAAGCAAAGTGTAAGGCCCGCAGTGAGTAGCGGTCCGCCTCACACTAAGAAAGCAGAAGGCACCTGCTTTGCGATGGCAAACCTGAATGAAGCCAATGTCTCCATGACTCTCATTCAGGAACGTAAGCATGTCAGAATAAAGTCCTTGGATTTCTTTAACTTACTCAGGAAGGTTCTGCCATCGTTCAATATTCAGGCCTGTCTCGATGCGCTGTCAGGCAAAATAAGATGGAATGCGAGGGAACGTGCCTGGAAGAGTAAGCGTTTTCCCCCCACACGTCCTTCTTGTTGATAGCCTGAATGGGTATGGTGATAATGCTTTCTAATCTTGATAGAAGACCTGGACTCCCCACTCCTGTCGAGAAAGGTTTTCGCCGCTGATATTTGGTCATCCTTGGTCACAACTCTCATTATCCAGGTTACTGGGGTATGCAATCTGAATATCTGGCGAACAAACCAGTCGAGATAATGTAGGTTCCCACCAATATTGTTAAGACTCGGCGAATTGATAAGAACTATTCAAAGAGCCTTGTGAAGCGCTCTCTGTCTGTCTGGAGATTTGGCCCGACTACACAGACACTATGTCAGTGCAGAGCACGTTGTTTCATAGCCCGCGATCAGAAAAATCAAAATCTGACATAAAATTTAGTCTGTGCCCATGTGCTGAGAAATGGAGGCTTCGGGATTGGAGGCCACTGCATTAACGGTAAATTGCTGAAACATACCAAGAACGGTCAGGAGGTCCCTTTGTCTTGGAACATTCCTTTTTGTAAAAGCGTCCTAAAGGCGATAAGCTATAGCGCAATGCAATTGAGATGCACGTGCACATGCGCGACGCCGCTGATTAACGACTCCGCCACAGGGCAAGATTCGTTAGCAGCGGAAGAGATAGCTCGCTCACAAATAGTCTTAGCAGGGGTATCCAAGTCTCGAATATAGGTCTAAGCGCTAGTTGCCGTGCAGCAGTGAAGATTACATAGTAGGCATTGGCTAATTTGTCGTTTGCCCCTGCTGAGGCGTTGGATTGCCATGGTGCCCAAACCCTGTAAGGGTAATGATCAATACTTCATGAATATAACAAGTCTACAAAAAACTACCAGCAAGTTCAATGACGTCCAAGTTGCTTTTTATAACCAGACAATGCCATTCATGGATTGCGAACCATGCTCTTGGACGGCCTAAATCGAAATATCCTGCAGCTGCAAAGGCGTACTTAGATCGGCAGTAGGCTATGATCTTGCCTGATCCGCTCTGTCCGAAAACACTGGATAGAGAGTTTTAATATACGCAGCCGTGAATGCCGGAGCCTAAAATACGGAAGCAGTGTGAACATAATCAGTAATTTTTTTGCAGTGCACATTCAAGGTTTCATCGAATGGGAGAAAACTTTTTCCGCGTAAAGGGAACGTGCAGGCCCCGGGCGGACCATGACCACGCTGCAGCCAACATTGACGCAGTGTCGGATGATATCATGACTGACCGATATTCTCCGCTGTAATTTCAATCCTGTAAGTGACTACAATTTTACTAAGCGTGGTGAACAAGCCTGACCCTGTGATTCGTGTTGGCCCCTTCGTCACTATCAGTACTCCGAATTCGCCGGCACTCATACTGGCCAGGTTGTCGCAAACGAAGTCGGGTTTATGGTAAATGTCAGACTTCTCCGGTATGTAAGCGATAACAGTCAGGTCGGTCTCCACCAGCCGAGGTCTTCAAAGACATTCGATGACCATAAGTTGTACCATACCGAGCCTCCCAGTTAGCTTGAAGGAGATCGTGGTTTCCTTAATGGCATGACATCTCCGCGAGATTACCAAAAGGTAGCGACGGAACAGAATAGGCCGCGAAGCATGTGCAAGGAGGTATTGCCTGATGAGCAAGTGTATTATGTCTTTCAAGACAAGACTTGAGAGGAGGATACCCAGAATACTGAGCTTAATTACAAGTTGCAACTGACATGGGCCTCCTGGTAAAACGCGGGGCTTAAAGCTTATACGTTCATATTTAGAAAACGTCTCTCACGTTCCTTGTGACGATCCCGATTCAAGCTTCGCCGTGACTACTACGAGACTTATTTGAATCAACTTGATGCTGCAGTCTTCTTCGCCAATCCACTGAATTAATGTCGAAACTTGGACCGATATATCAGCAGCTGTGTTCTCCTATGGCTTCCGAGCTTCTCTCGATCCATCCGAACGACCTGGCAGCTTCTGGCTTTCAGCTTCCTGGAAATTGGAAGGGTTGGTGGGAATGGGCTACATCAATAGATGATGAACACACACCGTACTTCCCAAGGTGGATGTCGATTCTCCATTACTATTCTGCAACGCCCGATGACCAGCGGACGGGGAACCAAGTCCCGAGTAATAAATCTTCAGTGGGCTTGCTTTGTGATGATCGGCGCGTGCAGACAGCATGCTCATCTTGCGATAGATCCCGCCCGATTTGAAAGTGCTCATCGATGACACTGTCCGCGTCCAGTTGAGTAGAGATCGTATTTCCATCGGGAAGACCTCCGAGTCGGGTTAGTCACAATTCAGAGACCTTCCAGGCGCTCTGAACAGCTTTCTCACTTATTGACCCATCGTAATGCTTTCTATGTCCAGGGAATGCTCATCGATCGTATGGCATGTCACCAAAAAAAGAGCACGAGGTCTCCAGGATGTCAGAATATATCGACCAACTTTTATGCTCAGATTCTACGGATACACTACATCATGTTGTTGATGTGGGTTCAGGACAAGTTAGTATTTTTGTGCATATTTTCCATCTTAAAAGTTACAGGAATGCTTTGCCCAATAATCAATGGTTTTCTTTCCAGGGATATCTGTCTCGTGCGCTTCAGAATTTAGGTTTCCACGTGCTGGCTCTTGATTCCAATGAAATCCAGACCTCTGGGGCTGAGCGCTGGAAAGCAAAAGAAGCGGCAAGAATGCAGAAGCAGTTTAAAAGGGGAAAGGACGCCCAGAGCTTGCCCGACTCACAGCATCATTGCAACGATCCCCTTTTCCAATCACACGTGGCAACCTCTGTGCCTTCGGCTTCCATTGCCAGCAAAAACATAATACACAGCCGTACGGGTTCTCTTACCCATCAGACCATCTGCATCAATCCCCGTACACTTGAATCGTCAATTCATGATTGGCTTCTCTCCGGTGAAGACAACCAAATCGCTGGTTGTACTAATATGATCGGAGATTTACTTGTCGATAGGACTGAGCGACGCACACCTGAAGAGAAGCCGGTCCCTGTGATGATGGTTGCCCTTCACGCCTGTGGATCGCTCACGCCTGATGTTCTTCGCGTGTTCTTGTCTAATTACCGTAGACCCTCAGCCCCCGGTATTCGCATTTGGACGGCGCAGGCACTCGTTGTAGTAGGATGCTGTTACAACTTGATGGCGTCTGAGGGTGAGCATCGGTTTTTATGGCTGGTTTAGGCGAGGTTTGCTACAACTGCACTGGTAGATTTTCCGCTGTCACGGTCGTTGCGTGAGCGAGTCCCAGTAGCAACACTTCCCCTTTCCTCTCGCCACCTGGCTGCACAGATACCATCTCAATGGCTCCGCAATGAAACCTCTGCCCGTGAAACATCTCTGGCAATACGGAAGGTCGTTTTTCGAGCCCTCCTTCAGCCTGTCCTTGAAAAATTTGGTGCACTAGAGGCCTCCGCGAATCATGCTGCAACCTCTTCATCATATAATGTCGAAGAGCTCCGCGGCGTAGGTCAGACACCGGAAAATAGGCGGTTGGGAAAGCTCCCTGATGCCGCGTACAAGGACTGGGAAACATTCCTGGATCGTGCAACTTCGAAGACTGGCGTCCGACTCGACCAAATTGCAACACAGCTTCCCGTTTATATTCATGACAAGCGTAGACGAATGCAGCTGGAAAGTGCTTTGTCGGTATTGCACGTGTTAAGGTGCATCATGGGACCTCTGATAGAATCCCTCATCCTCCTTGATAGGCATGAATGGGTTCGGGAAGAGTTGAGTCGAAGCAGTGAAACACAGGAATCAAGCCCAATGGACGTTGAACTGGTAAACCTGTTTGACCAGGCAACGGGAAGTGGAAGGAACGTAGCTATTGTTATCAAGCCTTGTGAATGGCCCAATATGATTTAACATTGTTCGAGCCAGTCAGACGACACCTTTCTTTTCTGTACATCACAGTTGAACGTATGTTATGGATCGATTCAATTGACGTGAGAGCCTTGAAATGGCCATGAAAAGATGTCTTTTCCGATCTTCACTACAATGGTATCCGCATCGAACCCACCGATGTGGGCGGATGAGACCCTAGCACCGAATCGCTGGTTTAGCGTCGGGATTAGCTCAGATGGAAAACGCGGAACACGCGGAAAACACTTGGCCTGAAATTGTTTATTAGATTCCCCGATGTCCCCGTTACTGGTTAAGTTGTTGTCCGATGTGCCTTCCACTATTGTGACCCCTTCATAAGCGCGAGAATGTCTTTTGGTGTCGGTGTTACCGTTCACTGATGCATTAGGGTCCAGAAGAACCCATGCTATTGAAACGTGGAACCGTGGTTGACTGTAGAAATCTCGTTGACGCAGGGATTGAAGGGTCGGCGATAGTGCGGATAGCAAATCCCTCAGCTACAGCAAGTCAGTTTGGAATCAGGTTGGTGTCACTGGGACGAACTTCATTATGACCAGCTCCTACCTCGAGGGAAAGGAACGCCCTCGTTCGTTCGTCGTTTTCAAGTTCGGAAAACGTTGCAAATGAAGCCTGAAAACTTCGCATAACGATAAGAGACCGCAAGTATTCAAAGGATTGTACATGTGGCGTACGGGGTTCGGCGTGAAGCAATCAGCTTTATGGCTCTTTGGAATCCTTCTCTTTGATGGGCGCGAAGAAATATCGGTCGAGTCAATGACAAGTGCAGCTCCCGCACCCTGCGAGAGCTATCGACTACCAAGCCACTAGTATTGCTACTACACGAGACCATTTCTCCTATGGCATGAGCGGCCGGGACCATTTCCTTGATGACATCCAGTACTTCATCGATCAACGAGTACAATGCAGTTCCAGGGTGCACGGCGAGGGGAATGTAAACATATGCAGCATATTGGCCTTCTACGTGTGGGGTTACACGAACTCGTCCTTGATGGAGAGCAGGATCATCGACAGGTACTGGTACGATGAAGGATGATGCAAGCAACGGCAATTTCCTGTGCGTACATTGAGCAGCATGTGGCAGAGAGATGATGAAATGGTCAACTTCTTCTTTCTCTCTGGAGCCTCATCGGCTGGAGCATCGTCTTCTGAGCTAGAATAAGCTACCAGGGCCCGTGATGCGCGCTTCATGTGGCACGACTCGTAATGCTTTTGATATATTATACAAACCGCTTTCAGAACTTCTACAGCACCCGCCGGCAGACTCCGCTACTACTTATCATTGCTGTAACTGAGTTTGAAACGCTGGTCATTGCATTATCACTAGTTTAACATCGACTATGAGTGTTCAATTCATCAACAACCTAAACCAGTCAAGTCAAACTCACTCGCACGAACCTGGCGGTGTACCTCACACTCACGATCATGGCGACCACGGACATACACACGAGCACCTAGATCACCCAGGTTGGTTTCGTCATCGAGCGTATGGTCAATGCCAGTAATTTTGTTACATTCACTTTCTTGTAGGTAAATTCTCGGAGCGGGACCTTCCCGACTACTCTCTACGAAACTTCCAAGAAAGAGGCTTTACCGTCGGAATTGGTGGGTAAGTCGACAAGCTTACGATACTTATGTACCTACAGCGATCACCCCATACAGCCCTGTTGGTTCCGGTAAAACAGCCTTAACCCTTGCATTATGCAAGAAGCTTCGTAGTAAATATAACATCGGTGAGAAAATATGATCTTCTGCATTTTGTGAAACTTCAATACACTCAGCTACTGTGACGAACGACATCTTCACTCGCGAAGACCAAGAATTCCTTATCAAGAATAAGGCACTCCCAACGCCTCGTATCCTAGCCATTGAGACTGGTGGCTGTCCTCATGCGGCAATCCGCGAGGATATTAGTGCGAACATGGGTGCTCTGGAGACACTTCAAGCGAAGTTTGGCTGCCAACTCCTTTTTGTGGAAAGTGGAGGAGATAACTTAGCTGCCAATTATTCTCGGGAATTAGCTGACTACATCATATATGTAATAGACGTGGCGGTACGTCTGTCAGACTCTCAATGAAGTTCTGTCTCATGTGCATTTCCAGGGAGGAGACAAGATTCCCCGTAAAGGTGGGCCAGGAATTTCGCAGTCTGACCTTTTGATAATCAACAAGGTTAGTCAAAAAATCCATTCAAACATCATATCTCCTCACTGCAGAGGTTCAAGATCGACATCGCGCAATATGTTGGCGCATCTCTTGATGTGATGAGACGTGATTCGAAACTCATGCGTGGAGACGGCCCAACTATCTTCGCGAGCATAAAGAACGACAAAGGCGTCGACGACGTCGTGGAACTTATATTGGGCGCTTGGCGAACAGCTGGCGAACCCGGCATACAAGGTGCAATGGGCGATAATGAGTGAGGGGCAATAAAAGAACGGTTGAAAGAATTGCGATATGACGGGTGAGGAGGTGATGAAACGAATGCTATAAAGAACTGTAAGCGGTCGCCTTTGTATTGTATCGCGGTGTTAAGCATGACACCGTTGAATTTCTTTCGAAGTGCCAGGTGGGCACTCTATACAAGAGTGGATTTTCAGGTCATGTTGTCTGATCCTCCTGGAACATACCACTCCAACGATGTTACTAGTATTACTCGTCTCTGGCTGCATAGAGCTGCGGTTTGTCCATGTCATATCACAAAGGACTACTTCTGCAAATATAGTAGTACTTCGAGTTTAAGCCGCTACCGTGACAGCCTGGCTCCTGCTTGTAAACTTTTTTTGGAAATTACTCTCAACTATTTATTTTGCGACAGCAGTACTTGAGCTTCAAGCTTCATTATCCATAGGCTCATACTATGGATTAAATCATTCTGACAGTCATACATGAAGTAGTACGACTCGATAATACATAAACCGTTGAAATTCCATTTCGATGACGTAATCGCTGTTGCAACTTCCTTCGCTGTGCAGCACCAAGCTTTCATCCATTAGAACCATGATGGACAGTCAGTCAAATAACCATCCGTACACGATTGTGCGTATCAAGCGCAAACGCACGGATGAACCGCTCGACGCACTTGGTGTGTTACTCGTGCCACCCGTTCGCAAAGTCAAGTTCTTATATAACATTAGTCGTCGAGTCCCGGGTTCGCAAAAAGAGGTCAAAAGGTGGTCGCGATGTTTTTCAATTTGTTCAAACCGTCGAGAAGACCGTCTGGGAGGATAAGCAACTGCAGGAGACGCTACAGGTGAGTTACGTTTTGACACTCGTCGCGTTCGCGTTTCATAGGAGTTCTATCATCCCTGCAGAACCAAATATCGAGATTGTCGCAAAGCCACGATGACCCTAACATGCAGCCCTCGGCACCTGTGGATGTCACGAACCTGTCTGGGGCCCAGCGCCATCGGCAATTAGTTGATGAAGGAAGACGCTACACAATCGTTCCTACACGTGAATCTACTGAAAATACCAAGTTTGCTACCAGTCCGTGAGTCTTCCCATGATGTTGCCAGATAATTGTCTAACCTAGGATAGTCCAAAGGTCATATCTGCGAAAGATATTCAATCGCAAAGTGACTTCAGGATGTACGATGCCGTTCCAGCTGATACGAAGCCTGCGTCTCCCATCTTTGACTCCGACATGGAAAATTTCTTACCTATGCTACAAAATTACTTGCGGAGTAAGCTCTACTTCTCATGATGTCTTGCATGCCAATGCTTATGGTTCCCAGTGAATGACGAGCCCTCGCAAGTTCTCTCAGCTGCTCCCCCAGTGGAGGACTATGTTTGGGACGTGTTCTACAGGCGCCCTTGCACCCTCAGTGAATGGAATTCAGTTGCTAATATTGGAATGCTGTAAGTTACCTAGCTTAATGCGCGATGATGTCATTGGCTAAAATGTTGTTGCGCTTGTAGTGAAGGCCTTCCTCCCTCACTAGATGATCCTTACTCTAGTGACTCGGATTCCGAGGAGGAAGATAATGCTGACGAAGACTCAAATGGTATATCTGCGGTTTGGCATCAAAACCTTCATCTGATGCGACATTTCCCAGCCGAGGAATATTACAAGAATGACTATCCAGATGAGGATGATTCGGATGACAGTGAGGGAAGTGGTACGTTTTCCGTAGTCTCATTCAAAAATTAGTCTGAGATCTGCCCATAGATATATTTCATGAAGGCTCTGAAGCGGAAGACGATCTTCAGTACGACAATCCGAGTGACGAAGACAACTATTGGAGGTAAGGAATTTGTTCATAGAATTTGAATTTGTGGCATAAGGATGGACACAACACACACATTGTACTACAATTTGCACAATTACACAACATCGTCACAACCTACAGCTATATTCGTTCTTAGCTCCTCAGATTCCTCAGCGTCTTCATCTTCGCATGGCCGAGTCACATACTTGAGGTGTCTTTGAGCACGAACTACCATTTACATTGAAATTCAATCGGAGCAAACGCGCAAAGAGATCACATACTGCGCTAGGATGCCTTGACCGCCGCCTCCCAAACTTACCAATCGTCAATAGTCCGAGGAAAACCAGGGTGATGCCCATTAGTACAACAACTGCAAGAGTTAAACCCGCGCCAAGGACGCCGGCTCCAGCTGGACTGATCTTGGGTCGAGCAGCTGCTTCTCCTTGAGCTGTCGCAAGAGCAAGAGGAGAGCAAGGCATGTCTTGGGTGTTGGCACAAACGCTGCACCAATCTGCCGTGGTGTTTACCGCGACAGGCTGGCAGAGTAAATCAATACGATGTAAGTTTAGAGTAGCCACTTTGACTCACAGCCACAGCATTAATGAAAGCAGATAACGGGACATCTCCTGTGAGGTTGAGGAAGTTGTATGTTACGAAGGCTGCGTCACTGGTTCCGTTTTTGAAGTTGAAACGGATGACAGGTTCACCACCCCCAGAAGGTTGACGCAGTTCCAAAGCAACGGCGGCAGCGTAGTTGACTGCTTACGTGTTAATCAAGCTCACGACGAACATAGAACTGGTATACTGACCAATGCCTGCAAGACTCGGGTTTGCACTAGCAACACCTGTCATATTAAAGAGGGAGATGAAAGGTTTGTATGAAATGGCCGTAATCGATAACGGTACAGGATTTGTAGAATTCATGATATTTGCAAATCCACTGAGAATCGAGGGCAGAATAGTCGTACCGGCAACTAGGGACGAACGTCACAAATCAGCGATTTTCCCCAAAAACTAGACGTACTGTTCCCGATGCCTCCAATGGACTGGTCGCTAAAGACATTGTACTCGTGCCAATTAGCTAAAGCTTGTACTTGCGCCATGTATGTGGGTGGGAGAGCCTCGGCAAAGGTGGCATTGTGGATATTATTCACATTCATAAAGTCGAATATCTGTTGGCGAGTTCAGCCTGTCGCTGCTGCATCAAGAGCAGGTAAGCATACATTCCACTACAACAATCAGGGTCAGAACACGGATGAAATACAACTAGCTCGCAACATACCATATTCTCTAGCTGGACTGATCTTCCATTTAGATAAGGAGGCAGAGAGTCCAAGAAAGGTGCGCTTTGTTCAGCCATCTCTTGAAAGATGGATGAATTGTAAAAATCTGTCGTATGTGTGTTGAAGGTCTGGAAAACATTATCATAATGAGAAAATTTCAACGGATTTTTTTTGACAAACATTGCAATTAGTGAAACCTTCCAATGTTGTACTCAGGCTGGGATCCACAGCATCGACTACCCTGTGTGAGCACTGGGCGCTTGCCGAGATATCTGCAAGAACTCACTAGGTACATACTTTGCAACATGCCAGTCAGAGGATGCGAGACTCACATCACAAGTAACACATACCTGATACCCTCCGAGGGGAGCCGTGATCGTTGTCCCATTAGCAAGAGTGACATTGTTCGAGAGTGTGGCAGGCCAAAGTCCCTGCGTTACTGATACACAAGAATCATATATGACTCCACCTTCGTCTCCACAGTCTGCTTGAATGAACACCTGGGCTGGATTGAATAGCCCTGTGCTCATGCCAGGGAGGTACGAAGGTGATGACTGATTCAAGTACACTGAACGCAGGTAGCTACCGAGCATATACTCTTGTTGCTACAAGAAGTCAATGAGATACGGTGCACATGGTCCAGAATTACTGACGTACATTGCCCAGAGGAGTGATCACCGTGCCAGTTGCAGTATAGGTATCAGGGTCTTGATAAAATCCTTGTCGATCACCATGACGAACGAGTAACACGACGCCCAATATTTCGTTGTCAGTATCTTGTGACATGATACCCGTATACTGATGATTGCGTCGTACTCGGAGGACCAGGAAGGGCAACTGCCAGTGAATCTGTAAACAAGAGTGCTTGCCAGGGAGTAGACTCGTAGTGTCACTGGTCTGCCATTTAAACCATCGATATCGTGATCGTGACAATTATAACTTCGAGTTCGCATCTCGAATATGATAATGATTACTATTTGCGCCCAGGCCCAGGACGCCGCATGTCCATGCGTCAAAATCTCACATTGACAATCGTGTAGTTTCGACGGCGAACTGGATACAATAAAGTGCCACCATGGACTGGTCCTGAGCTGACTCGCAGTAGTTAAGAATTGGTGATGCTATTTTTTCGAGAACGCGATCGTAGCGGCATGAGCACTAGTTTCCGAGACTCCAAATTATCAGTGGTTTGCACGAGCTAAACTTACTTATTTTGCAAGGATCAGTTTCATCAGCGTCCCCCCAGATCCCCTTTCTAGCTGGTTACATACCCATGCACATGTGGCGTAGATTGATAGTGCGATACAGATTGCGATAGTACGCAAATGCGTCGGAAACACCCGGACGAGGACTCCGTAAGCACCTGATTGCGACATTTGTAGTAGATGTTAGACTCGTGACCAGTCTATGAGGCAAACCGTCGATAGACGGACTGGTAAATCTGGGGTTGAATTTGGACAGTGCGCTTTGAAGCCGTCACATGATCTTTAGCCAATCAAATAACGACACTTTAAAAAAAAATTGACACACCAAATGAAATGATAAAATAATCAATTTGTGATTTTGATGCACCAGTGCTCTTGCACTTGGAGTAGTTAAGAATTGGTGATGGTCCAGCACTGCAGAGAGTAGGTGTTGCCCGATATCCTTAATCCATGTGAGATAGCATTGATAGGCTTCTTGCCAGGAGAGAGGTCAAGAAGGTGGTATGAAGTACTGTTGACATTAATCTTGGATCTCTTGAGTGAATGGCCTTCACAATGTAGGTATACAACACAGAGTGGGGCTATACAAAGATGGCTCCAAACTGATATCTTTATGTTGTGGTCTTGCACTACCTATCTGCTATACTTGCGGACAAGTGCGTTCGACCCAGGGGTCTGTGGTCTGGGAATAGTTTTGGGGGTCAGTGGGTGATGTGAGGTCAATACTCCGAGCGCGGGAAACAATGTCCGAAGGTATAATTACGATGTCCAATGCAAAAGCTGTCGGGTCCGATGTTTTTCGGGTTTCGGGTTATTGGGTTCAGGTTCAGGTTATTGGAAACTAATAGTAACACTGTAGCGAGCGTCGGGAAAGCGAGCGATGTGCGCAATAATAACAATGATGGATACGGACGGTGAAGGAACGATGATATTCGCAATGTCAGCTAAGAACTATGAAATATCGGGTTTGACCCCTAAGTGTCGGAGACAATTCTCCTCTACTCAGATGATGATGATGCTATGGGGAGTCCAATATTTATGTAGATACATAGAAATCCGGAACCCTATAGGCAAAAGTAGTAGCACAATATTTCGGGTCTGATGTCCTATGTAATAAGACATGATGTACTGCGGACTATGGGAATACATGTAATAATGCGGTGAAGGTTCAACGATACAGCGAGGCACGAACAATGCTCCTGACTGTATCTATAAATGTTGTAAGGTCGCGTGTTGCCTAGTCTGCTATACTTGAGACGACAAGTGCGTTCGACCCTAAAGGGGAAGCGAGTGCAGCAAGGATCTAGTAGTAGGTGCTGAAGGCGCTACTGGTTGGCAAATGCGAAGCACGGGAAAGCGCAGGTGCGCACGAGGCGCGAGAATGCGCGAAGCGCGGGAATGCGTGCACGTGTATGCGGAAATAAGAGAGAGTAAGAGTGAGTTTGCTTAAGTGATGATTAGACTTTAGACAAGAGGTGAGAGATGCAAGCTGAGAGATGTTATATGTGAGGTGCCAAGGAATAGATTTCGACTATGCTCTGCTGGGTAGTAAATGGGTATTGTTGTGGTTCAGTCCTCTGTCGTTCTTGGTGGGAGAGTAAGTGTGTAATAGTATGTACTGCTCGCGCTTAAGTATGGCGCCTAAGCGCTGTCATGCAGAGCCGAAGTGCTACCGAGTAAGGTATGTAAAGATATATGTAAGTAAGGGTCCATGATAAAAATAAAGATGGAATGATAAGCAAATGTGAGAAATGGAAATGTACGCACTAGGGAACTTGGTGGACAGTGGATGGATGCTTCCGGATGGCTGGCGCTATAGGGCGCTCAAGCGCGGGAAAGCGCGCGCGCATATACATCGTGAAGCGCGGGAAAGGTACACGCGCGAGTTGCGAGTTGCGCGGGAAAGCTGCGCCTCATGTAGGAATAGCTGTGGATAGCATACAGAGTGATGCTACAAGTTCGTGCAGCATACTCCTTGGTGAAAACTGCAATATTGCACAAGGAGAGGCATGAGTCTCTACAGCGGTTGACAAATGTTAGCGATGTGAAAACAAGTAACTATGCACCTAGTGGGGCTAGCACAATGAGACTGGACATAGGTAGGATGAGTGTGCGCAATATCCGATCGGCCGATGCGAAACCCGATGTCCGATGTTTTTGGGTTTGGTGTGTATTGAGTCGGGTATGATAGGGAATGAGTTGGGTAATGATTAGCATTCCACATGCATTGGAAAATAGACCTCTATGAGGCCACAAGGACTCCAAGTCCTACAACGATGTAAGTGTTCGGTGTTGATATTGGTGAAAAGGGTAAGGGGACAGTATTGGCCAGCGACAAGAAGATCTTGAATGAAGCTGTGAATGCCAAAGTTGTAGGTGGAGTCTAGACTGGCTCCTGAGGGTGCTTCTTTCGAAGAATCAAAGAGAACCTTCAAAACTGATGTGATGTTAGGTTGTGTTACCGTTTTTGGAGTGAGAATAGCAGAGCCTTGGTTTTGTGAGTTGGGGGACAGTTGTGTGAAAGCAGCAATCCACTGTTGCAGAGCTGTACCCGTGGGCTGTGGAGGAGTGGGGATAAGGAGTTCGTCTGTGGGGATGTTAGGTTCTCCTGCGTCTCTGCGCTGTTGAGGAATTGCATTATCAGCAACTTGTCTAAGATTCTCGGCAACTATTTGATCATGCGTCATCTGGCTGACTGATGGGTTGGGCGAGCCAGTAGAATTATTGGTATTGGTAGAGTTGCCCGTGGCAGAAGAGGAACTGGCTGAGGGACCAGGGACAGAAGTAATGAAAGCTATGACTGAAGCATTTCGTAATTGTGGGGTCAATGATGTGGGGGATGGACAAAAATCGTTATATGACGTGCAAATAGGGATGAGCACAGGGAACAAAAGAGAATGAGGCACAGATTCTTGGATGAGGCCTTAAGAAGGAGGCACCTTGAACATGAGCTCAACTTTGATCGAAGCATGTTTTCTGGAGGATCTTCATGCAGTGAGCTTACAAAGGCCGTATTTCAAGTGTCAATGTTTGCAGGCTCACGATCCACTCTGAAATAGTCACCTTTCCAAACTGGACTCATGGTTTGGTCAGGTCCAGCATTTCTCTTGGACCCAAAGGTTCAGAGTTTGGTAATTCTTGGTGCACATATAACATGAACTGGTTCTGGATGAGTCCAGACCAGTTCAAACCTGTGTGTGTGCAAACATGAGTCTGACTGCATGGTTCTTGTGAGGCTTCCTGACAGTTCAAGTAGTATGCTCACCATCTTCTGCTAACAGTAACTAGATTGCCCTCATCATAGAGTTCCCCCATATTTTGCTAGCAACAAGGGTGCTTGTTGGTGTTTTCAGCTATGCAACTCATTCAAATCCAACTTGAAGCACCAGTACTATGTTCATCATCTGTCATGTTTGACGAGTCACTGACTTCTAATGTCTTTTATACCTACTACTGTGATGATTCTCAGGTTCAACACTGAGTTTGTACCATGGATTGTCATTGTGGTATGTCAAGGTGTGCAACATTTTTATCTTTAGTTTATGTTACAAACACCATATCTATTTTCCCATCTTTTAATGCTTATGTCTATCTTTGTTAATATGCTTTCCTCTTTTAGTTGTACACTTTATTTCTCACAACTTGTCTTGGTCTGTGTGTGTATATTAGTCTATTTAAGCACAGTGTAATATACTTGTATACTTTACTTCAATTTTACTGGGTTTTACCTAGAAACTCCTTCATTTAAGATCCCCAATCTTAAGTTGTCTGAATTTGACTCTTCATTAAAGCACTTCTTTGACAAAGTCTTGAAACTCTCTCTTATTTGAGGGATTCAGAAACCTCAATGATCATCAGCTCTATTGAGCTATTGTTGTTAGAACTATCCCAGTTTATAACAGTTTAAGATATATTTAACTGTAGTATAGGTTCGATATTTGCACTCTTTGCTACAATTATGTCTGAGTTGTCTGCACCAGTCCATCACCCTGACAGTTCATTGAAAAATGTTGAAGAGATGGAGTGGATCAATAACCCTGATGATGACACTGTTATTCCTTCCTCCTTCTCCTATATTCAACCCCAAAGGCATTCTTAATTTTTTATCCATCATTTAGGATGTGCCATTAAACTTACAGAGAAAATCTGCAAGGCTATTGACAGTGTCCCAGAAAAATAGCAGGCTCCAGTGCCTCCTCAAGATGTCCCTGTACCTAAGTGAGCACTTGTTAGTGCCAGTCACAAAAGTGATGACAATGCTAATGATAATGCACCCAAACTTGAAGATGCTACTGATAATGAGGAAGAGGATGCTGCTGAGGAAGCTTACCAGAGGATAAGAAGTATGGGGACCAGGATCAAGATAATCACAAATTTCTAAAGAAGGACAAGTGAAGTGTAGTGTAAGACTTGAAGTCTCTATGATCTCATAGAGGCCATTTTTGCATTATCCCTTAGGTCCTCACATAGCATGCACTATTACTAGTGTGGCACACAATCATTTTGTTATTGGCCAATGGCTGTGGCTCTTGTGCACACTTCAGCTTGTGTTGGCTTTTCTTTGGGTCTGTCACACTGTAGGAATACAACAATTGCTGGGAACTACACAAAGTAAGTAACCAGCAATATAAATGTGTTGTGGTCTTGCACAGCCTAGTCTGCTATACTTGTGAGACAAGTGTGTTGTAGCACTTGAGCTCACACTAGGCTCGTATTCTGCTATTTTCTAATGCATGTCAAACACCCGTCACACACAAATCACTTCCTGATGTTATCTGACACTTACCTGCTCAATCCGATGTTTATCCACTAAATCTGACACTAATCTGATGAAACCCGATGCTAACCCGATGAAACCCGATGCAAACCTGACGAAATGTCCTCTCTATGTCTTGCCCTGTCGTATCTATCCCCACTAGGTGTGCAGTTATTCATTTTCACTTTGCTAACATTGTAGACTGCGTTATTACATGTCTGCAGTACTGCATGTCTTATTACATAGGACATTGGACCCAAAAATTATCACTACTACTTTTGCCTATAGCACTCCAAAATTCTACATAGACACTATATATTTTGCATACCTCCTACCTATTTACTTACCTTTTCTACCTCCAAGTAGGAGGAGGTCATCCAATTTTTAGTAGTTCTTAGCTGAATTCCACAAATATCATCCTTTCTTTATCCGAAACACTCCGAAACATCTGACATTTGCTATCCCCAACATTTGCTACATTCCTGATGCAAACCTGATGCAAACCTGATGCAAACCCGATGCAAACCCACTAACCCAAAACCCAAAAAACATCGGACCTGATGTGCTGACATCGGACTAGTAATTATACCTCTGGACTTTGTTTCCCGCACTTTGGACTATCTTCCCTTTCATATAACTAATTATTCTAATACCAAACAGCAAGCCCCTTGGGTCGAATGCACTTGTCTCGCAAGTATAGCAGACTAGGCTGTGCAAGACCACAACACAATTATATATTTGGCTGAGAGTTTACTATGTGTTCCCTGCTCAGCCATTGTTGTATCTCTACAGCATTCAACCCGAGGGGTTTGCTGTTTGGAAGTAGAATAATTAGTTATATGAAAAGCAAGATAGTCCAAAGTTAAAAACATCATGTATGATACCTTCAGGTTAGGTTTGGTGTTGGGTTAGCATCAGGAATGTAGCAAATGTTGGGGATAGCAAATGTTGGATTACTGTCAGATGTTTTGGATAAAGAAAGGATGATATTGCAGAATTCAGCAAAGAACTACTAATATCAGATGACCTCTATCCTACTCAGAGGTAGAAAGGTAAATTTTTGGGTCTGATGTCCTATATAATAAGACATGAGGTACTGCGGACATGTAATAATGTGGTCTACAATGTTAGCAATATGAAAACAAGTAATTGCACACCTAGTGGGGATAGATATGACAGGACATGACATAGGGAGGTCAATTTTTGATAGGCTGATGCAAAACCTGATGCAATGTCCGATAATCCGATAATCTAATGTCCAATATTTTTTGTATTTGATGTGTGCTACTTAGGCAATGTGTAGCAGTTGACCTGCATCAGAAAATAGCCTGATATGGGCCCAACACAATGTAGGAACTGATTCCTGGCTAGGTTTATAGAGACCGTTTTACTTAGTGTTATGTTTGCACCTTAGCTTACATAATAAAGTTAGCTTTTCACCAGTTACCAGTATGAGTCTGAGTCTTCAGCAGTTTTCCCTCTCCTCTGAGCCTTGAGCCTGGTCCATGAACCCTTTAGGGTTGAATAGCAGCTAGGTTCTGCAAGACCCAACACATTGTTCTGAATCACCATCAGAATTGTTGTACCCACAGCAAGCCAGAGTGTTACATTGGTCTGGTAGATCAACTCTGATGCTTATTCAGAGTGTTTCTGTTAGAGGAATAAGAATTTGAAACATATTTGCATGTGTGATAAATTTTGTACAAAAGTAGCGGTGACTAGGTGGCACACACCATACTCCTGTCACAAAGGATATCTCATACATGGTCTCTATCCTCTCAGCTAGTGGAATGAAGAAAGTCAAGAGCAAATGAAAGCCAGTCAATGCATTCATTGATCTTCGCACTGATGAACCATGGGACACTCTCAAAGCACAAATTCTTGTGAAGATCTTGACAGCAATCAATCCCTGCATGCTCCATTTTGATGACTACTTGCTTACCTATCACATCTCTCAAGTTTTACCTAAACCTGGCCTATCTCTCTTGACTGAGGCCAACTACAATAGTATGATGAAATGGGTCAATGGAATGGCTGTGAAGGTTCCAACTATCAATGTCAATGTTATCCAAACACAACCTGCTAGCAACAACAATGAAAACCAGAGTGAGGATGAATCAGAGCTCGCAAAGTCCAAGATAAAGAAATGAGTATGTATTCAATGACCCTATAGATAACTATTTCATGATTTTTCCACAGAAAGAGTCAGCTGTGATTCTTCCAGGAAATGAAAAGAAAGTCAAAAACATTCAGCTTTTACAAGATTGCTGGATCTGCAAAAAGACTAACTCTGCCTGTGCATCGACCCATTGTTATGTGATTCCTGGATCCAAAGAATACTTTCCACTCGGACATCAGCAACTTGCCTGCTGGGCTTCTGCAATGGTTAATATTTTGTCTCTGGTGTTTCATGTGTAGTTGTGATACTGATTTTGAGCAGTGTAAGGAGGCGAGCAAGGCAATGATTGATAAGCCCCCAGACCACTGACTCTTTGATCTGAAGACCATCAGCCCAGTCTTACAGCACCAACTTGATGCACAGGCCAAGATAGTGACAGGACCTGCATCTTCAACTCCTGTCATCAATGTCACATTCGGCAATGGGTTTGCAAGTTTTTTCAAGTCAAACCACATAGCTCCGAATATAATAACCTCAGAAATTGGGCCAGCACCAATCTCTAAATCTTCACTTATTCCCCCATCGCATAAGCCTGGCAATGACATGTCTATCATGGCCTTCTGTGCCCTGTACCAGCTTGATAACAGTATTGCTACGAAATTTGCTTCTCATTCATTCAAGGAAGCACACTTACTCCACTATGTGACCTTTTCGGACCTCAAGGAGATGGAGTTCAAGTTTGGTAAGATAGCTGCATTACACGATGCTGTTGGGAGGTGGTTTATTCCTACTAGTATAGCATAATTGGACATTATATTGTACAATAAGAACTGTTACTCAAGTTGCTTTCAATGCTGCAAGTCATTATTTTGTAACCTAGCATCAAAAGTATCCAGTGTGTACAAAATAACCATGGGCATCATTCAGGGTAATGATATCAACAATCTCATACATATCATAAAGGATTCCATCATCTGTAGTTGCACTATAGTATTTATGGTGACAACAAAGAAAATGCTTCTTTGATGGGTTTGAGATCAGGAAAGTATGGCAGAAGGAATTCAATGTGAACACCTGGTATATGCATCCCATCATGGTAATTATTGTAGGAATGAGAGGAAATTACAAATAGACTGACCAAAATGGTCTGCAAGCTTAAGAATCTCAGGATCATGGTGAATTGAAGTGTTGTCCATCATGAGGACACTCAATGGGCCTGGATATGCAGAGCACTTTGGTAACTAGAAGGTTATCAGAGTCAGATGTCCAAGAATGTAGCTTGATAACTCACAACAGTAAATTCCAGCCACTTGAGAAAAAGCTCTTTCATCATAGAACCCTTGACAGCAGTGCATGCAACAATGTCATCAAGAGTCAACAGTGCTTCCAAGCTGACATGACACCCACGGACAAAGAATTGATGTGCATGTGCCTGTTTTCCTCTCAATGAGTGCCCATAATGCTGTCCGAGTGTCTGCTCATCTTTTGAGACTTCATTAATGAACCCTATTTCTGTAGCATCATATTGAGATATGCAAGCTACAAATGCAGTACAGAGTTCTTCATTGTGTTCCAAAGCGATGAAGGTACAACAATTCAGATGGTGAGTCTGAACAATGTTGGGTCTTGCAGAACCTAGCTGCTATTTGACCCTAAAGGGTTTCTGGACCAGGCTCAAGGCTCAGAGGAGAGGAAATATGATAGAAACTTACTGAATACTCAGACTCATACTGGTAACTGGTGAAAAGGTAACTTGATTATGTAAGCTACAAAAGTGCAAACATAACACTAAGGTAAAAACAGTCTCTGCAAGCCCAGCCAGAAATGAATCCCTACAGCGATACATTTTAGTTTCTTTCAGCTCATACCAGCATGTTCAAGTTTATTGAAGACGGTGGTGAAATGAATAGATATGGAGTGATTGGTTCTTGCAAGGCTGATGAGCTCATCAAGGAAGTAGTCAGGGTTGTCATGAACAAGTTCCAGGAGATATTCAATGTCTTTGCATTCCAGATGATGCACATAGCCACAAACTCCCCTTAGGTGATTGGCAATATCACCAGTGTCTCTCCAGAGCCTCAAGACATGGTACCATGTCCATTGTTACCTTGCGGAGCAAGGTCTATCACGATGGAGTGTGATATGTGGTGGCAAACAGCACAAAACATGCACATGATTTTACACCACAGCATCTAAATATATAAATATCAGTTAGCAATGAATTCTTTCAATGATAAATAGATATCCGATCTGTCATCGATTCATCCTTTGGAGGACCTCTAAACCAGAGGATGGAAAAGTGCACTGAATCAGACATAAGCTACTGAAAAAGAGAAGAGAGCACAAAGTCACACTACAGGTCAATAATAAACAATATGAAACATCAATAAATCATCACTAGCAATCTACAGTCATACTATGCCTCATGGCTGATACAATCTGCTCAGGTCTCAACCACATTTGCAATGTTTCCCTGGTAGATGCATGAGGAAAAGGATTATTTGATACACTAGTTCCATACCTCTTCATTGACACCAGTGGGTAAAATATTGAGCTCCATCATAATGGTGCAATCAATGGTGTAGAGATACAACAATTGCTGGACACTACACGAAGTAAGTGTTTAGCAATATAAAATGTGTTGTGGTCTTGCATAGCCTAGTCTGCTATGCTTGCAGAGCAAGTGCATTCGACCTGAGGGGTTTGCTGTTTGGAATTAGAATAATCAATTCTACGAAAAGGAAGATAGTTCAAGGCACGGTGAAGGTACAACAATTTAGATGGTGAGTCTGAACAATGTTGGGTCTTGCAGAACCTAGCTGCTATTCAACCCTAAAGGGTTTCTGGACCAGGCTCAAGGCTCAGAGGAGAGGAAATATGATAGAAACTTGCTGAGTACTCAGACTGATACTGGGAACTGGTGAAAAGGTAACTTGATTATGTAAGCTACAAAGTGCCAACATAAGGTAAGGTAAAGACAGTCTCTACAAGCCTAGCCAGAAATGAATCCCTACAATGGGAAACAAAGTCCGAAGGTATAATTACGAGTCCAATGTCAAAACGTCGGGTCTAATATTTTCAGGTTTAGCAGGTTTCGTTGGGTTGTGTCAGGTTAGCATCGGGTTAGCATCGGGAATGTAGCGAATGTCGGTGTAGGTGAGGAATGTAGAATGATATGAAGTGGGGTGGTATGAATATACTCAGATGGTCCTCTGTGCGTGAATCTAATGTCGGCCCAAGGGGATTGCTACTGAGAAGGTTCCTCTATATATAATAGTGGAGGGAAACACTGAACCGGGCTGTCAGATAAGCCTGGTGAGGTGCGCGACGATGAGCGAAGTGCGATGAGCGGAAGCGCTATGAAGCGCTACTGAGCGACGAGTACAATGGCGCGCGTGCGGGTGGTGGAGCACAGTGACTCTTAAGTGAGTCGGGAGACAAGTAAGACAATGTTTGTATATATGAGTATGAGAACTGGCGCTCGTGTCGGCTTTAGCGCTTAGTGTCGGTTGGCGGATACGACAGAGATTTTAGACTTAGAGTCCAACATTTGTGCAGGAAGAAAAAGAGATCATCATTCTACATAGAGGCAAGGTATATATATATTCTAAGTAGCGTTTAAGCGCTGTCAAGCGCTAAGGCGAGCCAGAAAGCAAAGTGAGTACGTGATGATATGTAATAAGGGTCTGTGATGAAACATATGGAATATGTGTGCAAGCGCCGGAGATATGTCAGAATACATGAGAATAAATTAGGAATACGCACCGACGAACCGAACAGACATGGAATGGATGGACGGAGGACGAGCGACGGAGCCGAGGATACATGCACCGATGCACGACCGAAGCGCCTGTGCGCGTGAGCGGCCGACGAAGCGCCAAGTGCGCAGAATGGGATACGGGTCGCGCTGTGTTTGGAAGGTGTTTTAGGGCGTTGTAGAATTAGCTCTCTACGAGGCCACAGAGATGTCAGTCTCTACATCGGGGATAGCAAATGGTGGGTTACTGTCAGATGTTTCGGAGTGTTTCGGATAAAGAAAGGATGATATTGCAGAATTCAGCTAAGAACTACTAATATCGGATGACCTCCTCCTACTCGGAGGTAGAAAGGTAAGTAAAGTAATAGGTAGGAGGTATGCGAAATTTATAGTGTCTATGTAGAATTTTGGAGTGCTATAGGCAAAAGTGGTGGTGCTGATTTTCAGGTCCAATGTCCTATGTCATAAGACACGCTGTACTGTGGACATGTAATAACACGTTCTACGATGTTAGCAATGTGAAAACAAGTAACTGTGCACCTAGTGGGGATAGATACAACAGGACGGAACATAGGGAGGACAAGTGCGCAGGAAAATATCGGGTCCAATGCGGCCCAAATGTTGGGTTTGTCGGACTAGCGTCAGGTTTAGTGGATAAACATCGGATTGAGTGGGTAAGTGTTGGATAACATTGGGAAGTGATTCATGTGTGATGGGTGTTTGACATGCATTGGGAATTAGCTGAATATGTGCTCAGTGCGAGGCTGAGTGCTACAATTGGCAATAAGTGTTACAAAAGACTAGTACACGCCCAAGTACAGTAAGTTCTGGTAGCACACTGAGCACCATGACGCAGGAGCACAAATGGTCAATGCACTTATGAGCCCAGTCCATATGTCCTGGGTCCATGTATGAGTGGCAGTAGTCCATGGACAACGGATGCGAGGGGCCATCTGGTGCCATTGAAACATTTTGGCTTGGTGTGAATACCAAAGATTATGCATGCCTTACCAAGCCCGCCAAATCCCTTCTTGAGCTCATTTGCTTGCTGCTATAGTCAGTGTTGTCCTCGACAATGAGGTGCGGTCAATCTTGACAATCTGGTGTGTGCGAGGAATGATAGCTAGATGAGAAGGGGTGAAAGGGGGAGAAAGGGTGAAGTGGGGTAAAACTCAAATAGACCTCTGGACGCAAGTATAGATTTGGCCCAAGGGGATTGCTACTGAGAACGATTCCTCTAAGTATAATATGAGGGGAAACTTTGAAACTAGTAAGGGTAACTGAGAATAGAGGGAGTGCGAAAAGTTGCGCCAATGCGATGCAAGCGCAAGCGAGCTGCTGAAGGTACGATATGATGCACAACCAAGTGGCCGAAAGTTTGATGATGCGCGAAGGTGCGGGGAAGAGCTGAAGGATATATAAGAAGGCTTAGTGAAACACGAAGGCGATGCGATGCGACGGTGAAATGGGAGGAGAGTTTGATGATAGGTGTGATGGATGAAGTGCGAACATTAGTGTGGCCGTTAGCGAAGCGCGTGCAGTAGTAGGCCAAAGGTTTAAATTTTCAGTCTGAGTGTTTGTGTGAAAACGGATGATAAATTCGATGGGGGAAAAGAAGATACATGAAAAGTCTCAAGTACTGAGTATATATGATAGCGTGCCGAAGCGCTGTTCGGAGCTGAGTAGGTAGCGGTAATATGTAACAAGGGTCCATAACGCAAATAACGAGAACATAAGTGATATAGCTTCGGAATTATAGTTAGTCTAATGCAAATGAGATAAAATACACACCAATGGACAAGCAGAGGACATGGGTAGGACAGAGGAAGGATGCATGATGGAGCCAAAGATAAGCAGATGCGAGCCGATGTGCGCGCATGAGCCTTGGCTGTTGGCCGACGATGGAAAAGATGCGCGTCATGTTAGTGATAGCGCGCACTGCGCAAGGACCTGAGGGACACTGCAAAAATAGCCTCTATGAGGCTACAAGGACTCCAAGTCCTACACTGGTGCCGCAAGTCAGAGGCATTAGAGGTGACAATATAGAAGTGCTGTTTGTTCTTGTATAAAATGAACTTGTTGAATGCAGAGAAAATTGCAATTGGCAGGGGGTTGTATTGACTTGTCTGATGACTCCGCAGCTTTACCCTGAAACCCAGTGGTGGGTAATGTCGATGAGCTTGGTGGATCTGACTGTAACACAAGTTGTTAAGTGTATAAGTCAAGTCGGTGTAGGACTTGGAGTCCTTGTGGCCTCATAGAGGTCTATTTTCCGATGCATGTTGAAATGCTAATCATTACCCAAATCATTCCCTATCATATCCAACTCAATATGCACCAAACCTGAAAACATCAGACATCAGGCATCGGACATCGGACTATCGGACATCGCATCGGGTTTTGCATTGGCCTATTGGATATCACGTGCACTTGTCCTACCTATGTCCAGTCTCATTGCGCTAGCCCCACTAGGTGTGTAGTTACTTGTTTTCACATCCCTAACATTGTCAACCGCATTATTACATGTATTCCCATAGTCCGCAGTACATCATCATGTCTTATTACATAGGACATCGGACCCGAAATATTGTGCTACTACTTTTGCCTATAGGGTTCCAGATTTCTATGTATCTACATAAATATTGGACTCCCCATAGCATCATCATGATCTGAGTAGAGGAGAATCGTCTCTGACACTTAGGGGTCAAACCCAATATTTCGTAGTTTTTAGTTGACATTGCAAATATCATCATTCCTTCACCATCCATATCTGTCATCGTTATTATGGTGCATACCACTCACTTTCCTGATGCTCACTATTGTGTCACTATTAGTTTCCGATACACTGAACCCAATAACCCAAAAACCCAAAAACATCGGACCCGATGCTTTTTGCATCAGACATCATAATTATACCTTCAGACATTGTTTCCCACGCTCGGATTATTGACCTCACATCACTCACTGACCCCCAAAACTATTCCCAGACCGCAGACCCCTGGGTCGAATGCACTTGTCCCGCAAGTATAGCAGATAGGCAGTGCAAGACCACAACATAAAGATATCAGTTTGGAGCCATCTTTGTATAGCCCCACTCTGTGTTGTATACCTAGTGCTGCCGCAGTCCAGTTCCGAACTTCGGTTTGAACCTGAACCTTTCCGAACTGGACGCATGGTCTGGTCCAAGGTTCAGCCAAGACTCGTTCAAACCTGTTCAAACCTCTCAATTTTTGTAAGCTTCACACTTTTTTTAAAATATGTAAGTATTTACTATGTGTCAATATATGCAAAGGCATGTGTTTGGAACCCGCACAGGGTGAGATTGACACGGTCCTGTCGTGCCTTCTGCAGTTGTGACATGCTGTGACACAGTACTGCACTGTCACAAATTCATGTTCAAACACTAAGTATCTCATGTTGTGTGCTCACATCAAACCTCATCCATGCCGTGTCACTCCTCTGCACTCATTCTGACTTTTTAGGTCCATTCTTGCTCGCCAGAGTCAGATCTCTGCTGTGTCGAAGCACCACACCTCCCACCCAAGAAAGTTAAGGACTGTCATCATTTGGAAGAACTATCTCATTCCTACCGGTGCGGCTGTGATTGGGAACCATTGGTCAGTAGGCAATCATTTTCATCCTTTTACCTTGGGTCTGACACTCGTGCTTCAGGGCTATCGCAAATGATCCTGAAGTCTTCCCACAACAACACAAGTTTAATCAGCGCTGGGTTGGATTGATGATACAGGTCATGTGCACAGCCTTGATCTCCAATTTTTCACTTATGGTTTTGGCTGTTGGTGAGTAGTACTATCTCTCGACAATGTCTTATGTCTTACTTCAAACTATCAGTGTGTCCCAGTCAACATGTCATGAATCGGTGAAGGTTCAACGATACAGCGAGGGATGAACAATGGTCCTGACTGTATCTATAAATGTTGTAAGGTCGCACGTTGCCTAGTCTGCTATACTTGAGACGACAAGTGCATTTGACCCTAAAGGGGAAGCGAGTGCAGCAAGGATCTAGTAGGCGCCGAAGGCGCTACTGGTTGGCGAATGTGAAGTGCGGGAAAGCGCAGGTGCGCGCGAGGCGCGAGAATGCGCGAAGCGCGGGAATGCGCGCGCATGTATGCGGAAACAAGAGAGAGTAAGAGGGAGTTTGCTTAAGTGATGACTAGCCACTAGACAAGAGGTGAGAGATGCAAGCTGAGAGATGTTATATGCGAGGTGCCAAGGAATAGATTTCAACTATGTTCTGCTGGGTAGTAAATGGGTATTGTTGTGGTTCAGTCCTCTGTCATTCTCGTGGGTGAGTAAGTCAGTAATAGTATGTACTGCTGGCGCTTAAGTATGGCGCCTAAGCGCTGTCATGCGGAGCCGAAGTGCTACCGAGTAAGGTATGTAAAGATATATGTAAGTAAGGGTCCATGATAAAAATAAAGATGGAACGATAAGCAAATGTGAGAAATGGAAATATACGCACTAGGGAACTTGGTGGACAGTGGATGGATGCTTCTGGATGGCTGGCGCTATAGGGCGCTCAAGCGCGGGAAAGCTCGCGCGCATATACATCGTGAAGCGCAGGAAAGCTGCGCCTCATGTAGGAATAGCTGTAGGAAGCATACAGAGTGATGCTACAAGTTCGTGCTGTATACTCCTTGGTGAAAACTGCAATATTGCACAAGGAGAGGCATGAGTCTCTACATCGGTCTGTCTTCATCAACATGGCTCTTATTCTGTGGGCTTCCTGCCTTTTGGAGAATCCTGCATTGAAGATCGACACACTTGCATTCTCGGACACTGCAAACATACGTACTGCTCCATTTGAGTTTTATGAAGAGGATCAATGAGAATGTGATCAGGGAACTATGCATGCCGCATAGTGCACTGTTTCAATTTGCGAAATGGACAGAGCAATACGGACCTGTGTTCTCACTCAAACAAGGCCATAGGATTTTTGTGATTATAGGACGTCATCAGGTAAGTACAAAGCAATTCACCCGGTGCACATCCCTCCCTCTCATCCCTCCTTCTGCCCAGTGTCCACTGCACATGTTCGAGCCACGTCAACATTCACTGATGTGCGCCGGGCGTGTGTGCTAAGCACTGCGGGTACATACCCATGGCGGGTACGGGTCTCAAGCCTATACAACAAAACAGGTGGTCCAAGCTTAGTCAAACCTGGTTCGAATGTGAACCGGACCTTGTTACAGTCAACCGTAACATCTACAGAAGCCCCCACTCTGTTGGATTGACTGACGCGGCAGCATGCCGCTAGAACTTGGAATAACAGCGGTCCAAAACCGCTATGACCTCACTATGGCCTAGATGGCCTTGTACCTGATCTCCAGAGGCTGTACACCTCATGTACACCTAGACCGGCGCATGTTGCCTCATGCCGCCTCATGTAGACCCAGAGCGCCTCTTGGCACCTCATGCTTGATTGGAGGTTAAGCCTCATGTATCTTATCTGATCCTCATGGTTGACCTCATGTACTGTTATCTCTGACTCACCAGACTAGCACAGATCCCCCAGATATGAACTGAGCTTGAACCCTTATGTACAGCGTATATAAGTAGACAGATTATTGTTTGTATTCCTTACTTTAATCTACTAGGTAGAATCCCAGAACTAGTCTAATCAACTAGCTTATCCCTTGAAACCTGCTCAACTAAGTCCCCAACTTAGTTGTCTTTGAACGCACTTCTAAGCCAAGCACCCCCTTGTCTTAGTCGATCCTGCTAGTCCTGTATCTTGATGAGGTGCGCCTTACCAAGATAACTGGAGGGAACCCTTGACATTCCGTCGAGGCTACGATACGCTCGACCTCGGTAGCACATTCATGCTTGTGTCGAGAAGAACTACCCTAGTTCGTAACAGACCTCCCGAACATGTTCAGTGATGTTCGGTTCAGGGTTCGACCAAATGGCTGAACCGAACCATAGGTTCAGTTCAGCGTTCAGAAAATTTGCTCCAAGAACCGGACCGAACCAGACTTTGGCAGCACTATGTATACCTACACCACCAACTGCCGCTTTTGGCCAAACAGATATAGTGCGAAAACTATTTAAGCGACCTAACGACGAGCTGGATCTTGACTATAATAAAGCTTTGGTAGGTAAATAGCACATTTATAGAGTCAAGCTAGCAAAAAGAGGCTCTGTCAGTGCATTTGACCTGATGTCTAGCAAAAATAGGAAATAGGTTACCTGGGCCTGCATCAGGGCTCGATGTGAGGCCACATGAATAATATTTTTGCCATATCAGATGGAAACCTATGGTAAAGATCAGAAGCTGAGACATCTGAGAGAGGTTGTATGTATATAACACTGATGCTGGGCGCTGAATCCGACCTATATGTTTACTCTTATGACAGTCTACTGACCGCTGTTAATCTGCATGTCATCAACTCTCAACTATCAGTGATCTGGATATCACTGCAGGCCTTCCAGCGGTTCGTGGTAACAATCCAAGCACATAAAATTAGTATGCCTATATACAATGATAGACACTAATGAAAATGACAAGTTTTGTAGTATAGGTATCTTAACATACTGAAACATGTGAACCACAAGCTTGATCGTCCTGAAGGCAGTCAGAAGAAATAAGGGGACTGGGATAGAAGAGGGCCGCATGCATGCAGAACTCAGTCCAAACATGATCAAGTACTCCGTCGATGCCTCGTACTCCAATCCAATTCGCCTTGGCGCCACTCGACTGATCTAACCATGCTTCAATGAATGTACCTTGCAATGGTACTCAAGAATCCCACATTGGCCATCTGCCTCTCGGGAAGTATGGATATGTGCCAATAAATGCTAGCCAAAAGGCATCACGTCCCCAAGTCCACAATGGTGACTCTGGATCCACTTCCAATACCAGCCATGTCTCAATCTCCTTCGACAATGATGTCCAATTTTCTCAATTGCAGGAGTCGAATGCTGGCGGAAGTGGGAGAAATGGAATGCTATCATCTGGAGGGGGAGCAACACTGCAATCAGCTATCTCTTGAAATAAATACAGCTGTGTCACGATGTAAGTACTTCATGTTTGCGACAGAACGTGGACTCACATCACTCGAGGGTAGCGAATCCGCTTGCCAACTATCAGAATCCCTCACATCCATTGAGACAGCATTTACAACTGGAGTGGTAAATACCCCATACTCCTCGTCAATAGATACTGATATTTGAATGGGCTGCAACAGATAATTGTGAAAATTTTGAGTTTGTTTTGAATAAAACAACGACTCACAATGTTTTCTCATAGAAGACCCTCTGGTAGCATGCCTGAAAAACAGATTGTGAGAATTAGTGGTTGCAGTGATATGCAGCCAGTCTCTTCATGTTGTATGTTGGGATAGACAATAGAAATGTTAGTGAGTGTTCCTGGATCCATGGTGAAACGTTGGAGCCTGAAGTCTGAGAAAGTGAGCCGTTGTGAGACTTTGGACTTGTCGTTCAGAATCAATATTGCAAAGCACGTGACCAAATCGGCTCAACAACTTCAAGTCATTCTGTGATATCATCATCCTCAGACTCCTGCAAGCCATTGACTCATCCCATTTGTGAGTCCCATAATTTTTATCATTGAAGCAGAGCTAATTTGCAAATCACAACCAGGGGGGGTTCTGCACCATAACGTCCTCCTGTTATAGAGACGCTCACAGTATCATTGTTGTGTACGATGTGACTGATAACAGGCAAGTCATTTCACTTTCCTCCCATTTCACCCTCCTTTCCCTATGAACGACTCATCTGACGAAAAATTTGCAGCCTCGTATGAAAAACTTCATCCTTCCACACCATAACGTCCTCATACTATAGAGGTGCTCACAGTATCATTGTTGTGTATGACGTTACTGATAACTGGTGAGTCATTTCACTTCCCTCCCATTTTACCCTTTCTTTTCGCTGCAAATGACTCATCTTATGAAAAATTTGCCGCCTCATATGAAAAACTTCATTTCCCTCCATCTTTCCTCGCTTTTACTACTATAGAAGCACTCATGGTATCATTGTTTTTTACAGTGCTTGATAGTTACTACTGCCAAAGCCTCAATCAACCCTCCAGCCACTCGAATCGACTTGCCCTGCACATCCCATCATGAACAATAAATTTGTTGACGGTGATAGTATGTTTTCGTTGCTCTGTTATTTAAATGGTTGTTTATATTTCACCGCTTTTTATTTACAGTCATACAATATTGCAAGGATGGGGGCAAACATGTCATTTGCACGGTGTGCCTTCGCAAAGCAGGTGTCTTGCGCACAATGGCCATCCGACATGTCAAAAAGCACATCGCCCAGAGCATGCATCAATGGTTCTCTGAAAGGTTTGTCAAGAAACGACAGGCCACTGCTCCCATACCACAACTTGAGAATTCACGACCTAAGAAAGCTGGTGTAGAACTGGAAGTCCTTATAGCCTCGAAGAGGCTATTTTTGCAGTATCCCTCAGCACCCTATTGCTTTCCTATATGAAGCGCAGCTTTCCCGCAAGCCGTGCATGGAAGCGCAACTTTCCTGCGACGGCCGCAACATTCCTGCGTGCGCACAGCCGCGCTTAGCGGCCGCTTTTCTCGCGCTTCATCGGCCGATGTTCCGCACCCATCCATAGTCCAAAACCAACCCAATGGTATGTTATTTCATGATTATATTTACATATCAGACCATTTTCGCATCGGACCACCTTTATTTCGTCATAGACCCTTATTTACATATAGCTCTACATATCTAACTCGGTAGTGCATCAGCTCGGTTCCGTGTGACAGCGCTTAGTGCAATACTTAAGCACTAGCAGTACATATCATTCAGTAGCTTGTTTTCCGGACGTTCCAGTAGCAAACTCCCATTAGCCTACAGTTGGTAGCTATTGGTAATCAGTATCCGTTTACTGCTTGCATCGTATCAGTTATCACTTGGCTCTACATCTATCTCTATTTTCTATCATCTCTATTATCATCTGAACCCCTCGCGCATCGGCCGCTTCGCAGCCGCGTCTTTCCCACACCTTCGGCTTTCGCCCACCGCTATGTTCCTGCGCTACGTGCGCGCACCCGCCGCTTTCCCGCGCTTCGCATTGGCCGACAAGCAGCACCTTCTGCGTCCATTTCTAGACCTTTGCTGCACTAGCTTCCCCTTTAGGGTCAAACGCACTTGTTCTGCAAGTATAGCAGATAGGCAGTGCACGACCTACAACATAAAGATATCAGTTTGGAGCCTATAGCACCACTCTGAGTTGTAAACCTACACCGGGGCCCCTGTCTTCACCTCAACAAACACCAAACCCACTGTGTCTCCCCACAATTCCAACAACCCATACATGGATGCAGACATGCCTGATGTAGACATGGAGGTCCCACTATCTGAGCTTTTGAATCATATCACAGGTGATCGGACACCTGAGTTTGACAGAGTGCATCTGGACCTATTCGCCGAGCTCCAAGCAAGTCTTACCTGTGGGGAAATTCCTTTTTCAATGCCTCTCACCCCCGTAAATGACGAGCGTGAGCTCTTCGACGATTGTACGCCTGATTTCAGCATTGAAGTTCCTGGTGAGTGTGATATTTGATCCGTGCTCTATAACAATGCACTTAACGAAGTTCACAGATGATGGCAAGTACGATACAACAGGCTCCAATGTTATTGCCTCTCAAGATAGTCCAACATACCCATGGACGTCCAAAGCAGTGAGTTTTTTCTCCATATGAGTTGCAAACTCGATGCTCATAGCATCAAGAACTTTATCACATCGCTTCTTTTTAGTTCTCCCTGCCACCCATTTTCTGATGGACAGAAAAAGGCCACCATCAATTGGGCTAGAGAGCTCGGTGCTTGGGATGTTCCCTCATTTGGCACTGTCAAGAAAGTCCAGAAACACATTGACTGTCTCATTGGTGATCCAACTGAGAAGGTCTTGGCTCGCTCGGGGGACATCTTTTACATCAACAATATTGCAGAATCAATTGCTAGGGTTTGTCTGCTATGTTACCTAGGTGTATATGATACTGACACAATATCTCAGGACTATGCGAACCCGCTCACACAATTCGCGATGCAAGATTACCCTGAAGATGGAGGCGATGGAATGTCACAGGTGTTTAATGGCATGAAGATGCTACTTGATCTCCCATCACCGCCAGCAGTTCGGGTTGATGGCACGATATATTTTGTCAACGAGCTACTGCAAGAATCATCTAAGGCATACTTTATCCCAGAGTGCTTCTTTCTTGGATCGTGTCCTTCCGCTAATGAAGTTGAACCTGGAGCTCAGTCAAATGTGAAAATTCAGTACGCCCTTGGTCGAGCTGTTCAACAAACCGACATATGTTATTTGATACTAAACTTATGACTTTGTGCTGATCACTGGCACATAAATTAGGCTGGATTCATTGTCAACGACGAACAAGAGATTCTACCTACTTCGGTGTTTGTGCGATCATTCAAAGATATTTCTGCAACATCCGGTGAGCTTGAATGTGGCCTCACAGGTATGTTCTATCTCAACTGTACCAGTGGTGACTGCGGGACTTAATCACAAAACAGCTTCTTCAGCTAAATTTGCATCGCTTACACCCAATCCATTGCGCGAGAAGTCCAATGGTTGAATGGTATATGCCGTCCTGCTCATTATTTTCATGGACGACGTGTCGGGCAATGTGTCGAAGCAGTGGAATAAGCATCACACCATTTATATGTCCAATGCCAACTTGCCGCACGAGATGCTCGAGAAAGAGTTTTTTGTACGATTTGTCACATCATCACCTCACACTGCACCAATGGAGCTCATGTGAGCAATGAAAGAGTCTATCTGGTATGTGCATCCTTTTTGTCATCTAGCTTATACTCAGTCAGTAGTTGTGATTCGTAGTGTCGCAGCCGAATCTGGCATTGTTGCGTGGGACTGCAAGGACAATCAAGAAGTGATGCTTATTACATATGTGTTGTTCGTCGCTGGTGACAATCCCATGCAGGCCGAAGAGTGCAGCCATGTGGGGCTAAATTGTAATTATTATTGCAGGACGTGTGAGGTTGGTGGCACGAAGGAATATAAAGAATCCGAGGCTGGATATAACAGCATATTCAATGTTTGTAAGTCTGTTTCGCGTTTTACAATTGCTGATTTTGCGTTTGTAGTCAGGCAATACCCGAACACCAGAGGAGACTTCGAACATAATCTGACAGCAATTTGAGACTGCAATACTTTCAGGTGCCTCAGAGAAGGTGAAGAATTCTATGTCATCGACTGGTATTTGTGATACGGCTTCAGCCTCCATTCTCAACACACTGCTGGAGCTTGGCAAAAAACTCAGGAAATGCATAGCAGGTTCTCCGGCACTACCTGAAAATGAAGTCAGGATCGCGCTCGAGAAAGAGTTTGAGCAGCTCTTGCAAGGCAGAAGGCTCGATGATGCTATCAATCCCTTACTGGGAATGCATGGTAAGTCTTTTTGAAAATGATGTAGATCTTGCATTCATGTTCACAACAGCGTTCAATGTTCACATGGATATGCCAACTGAAATTCTCCATACAGTACTGCTCAGCATCGTTAAATACTTCTGGGGGCAGACAGTGTTCCTCCTCAAGAAATCTAAGCTCCTGCATCTCTTCCAGAACTGCCTCGAGACCATCAATAAGGATGCGCTAAATGCTCCTTACCTCAACGCCGACTACATCTGCCACTACAAAGGCAGCTTGATCGGCAAGCATTTCAAGAGTCTGGCGCAAGTAATGCCATTCCTCATTTACGACCTTGTCCCACTGATGGTCCTCGATGGTTGGACAGTTATGGGCGAACTCGTTGTCCTCGTCTGGCACACGAAGATAGCAAACACTGAAACTTATCTCGTGAGTCCTTTATATCATGTACCTGCTCTTTCTAATCATCTTTTTGATAGGCAAAGTTAACACAAACAATTCAGGACTTTCTGAATGTGACGGCACAGTGTGCACCGAGCATCCTAATTAGCAAACCTAAATTCCATTTTCTCGTCCATCTCCCAGCCTACATTCGACGTTTTGGGCCAGCAATCATCTTCTTGATGGAGTGATACAAGTCTCTCAACCATGTTTTCCGCCTATCTTGCATGTATAGCAATCGCCAAGCACTGAGCCGAGACACCTGCAAAGTGTTTGCTCACCAGGACGTTATCAAGCATGTTGCGATGGGTGGCTACTGGTACGATGGCGAGATCAAGAAATGGGTTTGCGCAGGCATCCAAGTCCTAAGTTATCTTGATGAGCACCCCAAACAAGCATGGCTACTGGGGTTATCGAACTTCAGTCACAGTGTTCCAATATCAGGTAAGCAACACCATACATTTCATTGTTTCATGACTCATTTGCATATAGGGTCAGGAAAAGTTGAAACAGTGACTGGAAAGTCCGGAAAGACAGTCTGGAAGGACGCAGTTCCCTGGAAGGATACACGTTGTGCGAATATTCCTGGAACTGCTCCACATGACCCATGCATTGAGTACTACCAAGGTAAATGTGTTGTGACGAGTACAGGAGAAAACGTATACCTCAACAATGAAGCTATCGTTTGACAGCCAGCGGATGGAAAGGCAGGTTGTTTTTTTGAACTTTCAAGATAGATATCTGACAATATTTTCAGATGTACATTGGACGTATCCAGGAAATTCTCATATCGTCCAGCAACCACCTAAAGGTAGAACATGTCGCTCTCCAGTGCTTTTCTTTTACAGAGACGTTGCACCCGTCTCTTCATCTTCCATGTCTAGATCTTACTAATGACGAAGTAGTTTTGTCTGCCGCCGTAAGTTATCATTGTCTTCCAAGTCGGCTTCACATCTTATGGGTGTCATCTTGCAGGATATCGTGTGTTCCGTCAATATCCAGCATAACTGCATTGATTCGGGTTGCACCAACACTGGTCAGCAACCTGTATATCAAGAACGGACCCTAACATCTCGCTCAAGGTGCATCGTTCAACACAAGCTGACACCACACTACATCCTTAACGCGTACTCTATTCATAACTACGACTACATATGTCTTGTTACGCCTGATACCCTTCATGAGACGCCGCTGAGAGTCACCAATGTGGCCAAAGTTTGAGCATTGGCAGTACAGCAAATGCAGGAGAAGCGAGCAGCCAAAAAGTCCGGAGATGTACCTCAACAAGGAGAAGGTGGTCACATTGACAATGTCCCAGCGCCCCATGCAGTCTTTGATTGTGCTCCTGCCGTGAAGACTGGTGCCAAACCAAAGGCGAAGTCAGCAGTTCCAGCGTGCGAGGAAAAAAGAAGACTGCCCCGTCACACACTAGTCAAGCAGTTGCTCCCCCCCCTGGACCAGCATCACCTCTGCGGGGAAATGCACCATATGCTGCTGCTGTGGATCAGCAACATTTTGCACTGCAAGCGGGACCTTCCTCAGCCCAGCTGACGTATATTCCTCCTCAGTTTTCGCACCGTCCTGTGCCTCAATCATACATGCCACCACCTCACTCATCCATGATTCAAGTTTCACACTCAGACCAACCACGCATTTCTCCACAAATGTCATATTACCTTCCGCTTCAACCCCACCTTCCTGCCGCTCAATCACACTTGCCTCCACCCCAATTACATGTTCCTTCATTCCCATCAGCTCCAATTACCTGGCATCCAGGCCATCAAACATTTTCACATCCACCGCCCATACCTCATTTTCACCATACGTTACCGCCTAATACATTCCCACTGGCAGGACCTAGTCACCCTGGGCCTCAACCACCCCAGCATTACTACCCCCATCTGTCCTCTATCGCCCCCTTCTCACCCGCACCTTATGCTACATAACGCTCTACTCCGTCGCTCAGGCTCTTGTTCCCGCTGGAACGTGACTTTAGTCAAAGTGCGGCTGCCGGTGAGACACCTAAGAAATCTCGCTGGTGTTACAGTAACATGGCACGAGTCCCCCGCCAGCAGACAGCCCTCTGCCACCGCACGGCTATAGACGATACCGGAGCCTCACCAGCTCTATAACGATAGATGACGACAGATGATGATAGATGATAAGCGGCAACTGCTGGCTTAGATAAGCGGTCTGGACCGCACGTGACGACACATGACGACATAGGTCTAGAAGGCCTATTTATGTTATCAAGATAGAAGGCAAGCCTCGTGTTGCCTCATGTACTGATAGAAGGATACCACGTGGATCCTATCTCTGATGGAAGCGTACCGCATGGACACTATCTACGATAGAAGCCCGCCTCATGGACACTATCTCTGACTCATGTAGATAAGCAGATTAGAACCCAGCTTCGAGCTGAGCTTAGATACGATAGAGTAGCCTTATATAAGGTCGAAGATTAAAGTAGATGTTCCTTACTTTAATCTTACTAGGTACAACCCAGAAACTAGTCTAATCAACTAGGTTTACCCTTGAACTCCTTGTCCCGCTAAAGCTACCTGCTCGACATCGACTCGTACCTTCAGTGACGCCTCTCACTGTCTGTAAACCCTGCTATCATCTCAGCGTAACCCCTCGTTAACCACCACGAGCTACGTTCGAGTACGCAACCTTTGCTTGTCTGTAAAGGCCGACGACTCTCAGCACTCGGTACCACTGTCGTGGTTGTCGCTGTTTAGATCATCCTAGTCGCACACGACCATTTGTCGTAACAGCTGGGATCAAGCTACCGTTATTCCAGAAACCCACTGCTCACCTGTTTTTCAGGGTGCACTATGTATTAGTCTGACTGTATATGCGCTGTAAGACCTATGGTCTTTGCAGCCTCGTATAGGCCTTTTTGTGTTGTCCCTCTGGTTCTAATTGCAGTATGCACTACCATTGGTATAGCACGCATATCTTATATCGTCGGCCGACAGCCGCAGCTCGCACGTGCGTTTCGGCTATCGTTGGCTTCTCTTCGGATCCGTCACACGTCCTCCGTCCATCCTATCCATATCCTCCGCTGGTTCATTGGTGCGTATATTACTTAAATTCCCACTAGACTAACAACAATTCCCAAGCTATTCCAATTATATTTTTATTAAATGTGTCATGGACCCTACTTACATACATCTCGCTACCTACTCGGCTCCGAATATCGCTTATGCGCACATACATATATCGGATACTTAGAATTTTCATGTACTTCTCTCTCCCATCAGAATTTATCACCCGTTTACACGCAAAGTTATAAGCCTTGACTAAAAGTCTAAAATCTTCGGTACTCTCCCGCGCGTGCACTCCTATCGGCGGCAATTGCCTTGCGCTCATGTATCTATAATATCCAACACTCTCGGCGCTCATCATCGCTCGGCTCTGCCCTCGCGTTGAAGGTTCAATGATACAGCGAGGGACGAACAATGCTCCTGACTGTATCTATAGATGTTGTAAGGTCGCGCATTGCCTAGTCTGCTATACTTGAGATGACAAGTGCATTCGACCCTAAAGGGGAAGCGAGTGCAGCAAGGATCTAGTAGTAGGCGCTACTGGTTGGCGAATGCGAAGCGCGGGAAAGCGCAGGTGCGCGCGAGGCGCGAGAATGCGCGAAGCGCGGGAATGCGCGCGCGTGTATGCGGAAACAAGAGAGAGTAAGAGTGAGTTTGCTTAAGTGATGATAAGACACTAGACAAGAGGTGAGAGATGCAAGCTGCAAGATGTTTTATGCGAGGTGCCAAGTAATAGATTTCAACTATGCTCTGCTGGGTAGTAAATGGGTATTGTTGTGGTTCAGTCCTCTGTCGTTCTGGTGGGAGAGTAAGTCCGTAATAGTATGTACTGCTGGCACTTTAAGTATGGCGCCTAAGCGCTGTCATGCGGAGCCGAAGTGCTACCGAGTAAGGTATGTAAGGATATATGTAAGTAAGGGTCCATGATAAAAATAAAGATGGAACAATATGCAAATGTGAGAAATGGAAATATACGCACTAGGGAACTTGGTGGACAGTGGATGGATGCTTCCAGATGGCTGGCGCTATAGGGCGCTCAAGCGTGCGCGCATATACATCGTGAAGCGCGGGAAAGGCACGCGTGCGAGTTGCGCGTTGCGCGGGAAAGCTGCGCCTCGTATAGGAATAGCTGTGGATAGCATACAGAGTGATGCTACAAGTTCGTGCCATGTACTCCCTAGTGAAAACTGCGATATTGCACAATGAGAGGCATGAGTCTCTACACCGCGGCCGAAGAGATTGTATCTCCTGAGGTCCAAGCTACATCGGGTAAAGGCAAAGGAAAGGCGGTGGAGACGCCGAAAGCAGCCCCCACACCACCACCAATCGCATCGACTAGCAAGGGATCGCCAAAAATAACGGCCACTGCATCACATCCCGAACCGTCAAAGACCACCGCCAACTTGCCCACTGCCGCCGCAACCCCAACTGGTCAATATCGGTACTTGCACGCATTGGAAGACAAGGAAGCAGACAAGCGTGTCATCGAGCGCCTGTTGGATACTCACCTCAACATTCCCGTCCGAGAATTATTCGCCGTGTCACCAGAGATTAGGAAACAGTTCCGCGACATGACGGCCACTAAATGGGTAACCGTCGGTGCCGTCTCCATTAATGAATTATCGGGACACCCAGCAATGGAAGAATGGCTCGGCGCATATGATGGTGTTCGCATGCAAAGTGATGATGGCAAGGACGTTGCCAACCACTTTGTGCCCCTATGTTGTATCCGTGCAGTCACGTACGGCGGTAGAGTTCTAACCTGCATTCTTGACCAAGGCGCAGAGGTCGTTGTCATGCCGTGCGCAATATGGCAATCATTAGGCGTCGGCTTGCGCTCTGATCACAAGCTAAATATGGAATCGGTAAATACTTCCCACAACACTACACTTGGCGTCATCGAAAATGTCCCGCTTGATTTTGGCGGTGGTCCCATGTATTTGCAAGTACAAGTAACCAACCGAGCAATGTTCGAGGTTCTGCTCGGCCGCCCATTTTTCAAATTATCTTCATGCCGCACTAATGATCTCCCTAACGGAGATCAAGATATTGTAATTACAGACCCGAACACTCGTAAAGAGTTGCACCTTCCGACCATTCCTTGGGTCAAGCGCTGCAACCATTGCCTCAATGGTGAGCATTGCGCCAAGCACTCCGCAAAGGCGAAAGCTGAGGAGAAGGGTTTTTAGGTATCGATGATCTGCAGTTGCCGCGGGGAGACGTCTATCCGCCGTTATTATATTCCGCTAACCATGTTTCTTCTTCCGATTACATTCCGCATGTCCGTTTAAGTCCTGAGGCGCCGCAATATGCGCGCGCTGAAGGCAAAGCATTACCGCTCTTAAGGAGCAGCATCACATCATTTTCCGCATCATCGCATCGTCCGCCATTATCGTCTTTTTCTCATCCATCCCCTTCTCCATCGGTGCATTATGTGCAACTAACATCCACCAGATCCGCCATTAATAAAGTGAACATCGCCGCTTTTAACCAGTGGTATTATTATGACCGAGATTTGCACGCGCTGGTATATAAACCAGTCGCGAAGAAAGTCCGCATGGTACCGATGGCTATGCCGGCCAAGTATAGAATCATGCGGCAATTGCCCGAAGACCTGCTTGCTGGCTTGCCAGATTTACCCACTCACCCTCCTGATTTTGTCCCAGGAAACCATTTCACACAAGAAAGAGCCGACAAGCTCGACCTTGACCCCACCAAGTGGCTTTGGCCAGAAGAACTTAAGTTAGTATGATGGCTTGTCCTAATACACGAGCTCGCATTCGCTTGGTGCGCCGCCGAACACGGCCACCTTGATGAAAGATATTTTCCGCCCTACAAGATACCCACAGTACCGCATACACCATGGAACCAACACAACATCCCAATCCCACCAGCTACTGTCGGCGAGGTTATCCACATTATCAAGGAAAAGATCTCTTCAGGCGTGTACGAGCCATCAATGGCCGTGTATCGCTCAAGATGGTTCTGTGTCATTAAGAAAGACGGACGGTCACTTCAGCTAGTTCACGACTTGCAACTGCTAAACGAGGTAACTATTTGTGACGCATCGCTGCTGCCTTTCATAGAACATCTTGCCGCCGTGTTTGCAGGATACGCAATTTACGCGATCCTTGATTTATATGCAGGTTACGATCAGCGGGCACTTCATATTGACTCGCGCGATTTGATGACCTTTGGGACGCCACTAGGCCCCCATCAGCTAACCACATTGCCACAAGGTCATGCTAACGCTGTCCAAGTATATCAGGGCGATACTGCCTTCATTTTGCAGCACGAGATCCCCGAGTTCACATCGCCATTTATCGATGACGTGCCGATCAAATCGGTCAAGACGCGTTATCAAAACACCGATGGTACCTATGAGACCATACCCGAGAATGCGGGCATCCGCCGGTTCATTTGGGAACATCTCATTGTAGTCAATCGCATCCTTCAATGACTGGAAAACGTCGGTGCAACGGTATCCGCGACGAAATTTGTATTAGCCGCGCCATCAGTGGTTATTGTTGGGCACAAGTGCACATTTGACGGCCGAGTCCCAGAAGACTCCAAAGTCGAGAAGATTTGCAAATGGCCAGAGCCGAAATCCCAATCGCAAGTGCGCGGGTTTCTAGGCACCTGTGGCGTTCTTCATATTTTCATTCGCGATTTTGCACGCATTGGGCGGCCGCTTGTTAACCTCACCAGGAAAGATGTACCCTTTGAATTCGAGGACGAACATCATGAAGCTATGGATTTACTCAAAGCCGCAATCATAGATTCGCCC